GTTTAAGAGCAACCCTCCCCTACATGGAAGTGCTATCTTTGAGTGCAGAGTTTAAGGAGGAATGGTGAAGGAGGGCGAGCACGCTTGCCAAGTCTGTCACATTAACAGAATCGCAGATGTCACAACCAGATTGTCGTCAGATTCCTTGCCAACCCGAAAAATCTGCATAGTGGCCTGGAGTCACTTAAATTTACTTACTTACTTTGATGAAGTCATTCAGCTTTGTATATTATCAGTCATTTAATACATACCAGTGTCTAAATATTATTTATATTCTACATTTCAATGATACTACATCTGCCAGTGCTTTACTTGATCTAGAGAAACGGTGTGGTTGTCCTGGCTCTGTAAAAATTTGAACACTAGAATTGGTCCTAGAATTCTCTGGTTGCTGGCCCTTAGGTTTAATCTTTAGACACGACCAAGGCTACCACATATTTTAAAACTTTTTAAGCCACAAGTGAGCCCTTCACTCATTATAGCTTATTATATTCACATCGGTAATTTGAACAATGACCTTACATAGATAAAACTGAGCAGGTCATTTAAGTTAACTTTTCTGGAGACAATTTTCACCAGCCAGAGTTTCCATCAAATTCAATAGAGACAGTTTCATTCCCATTCAAATAAAGAAGAGATTTAATTGAGATGCTTTAATGTTGATCACCATTTAACACTGTATAGCAAAAACAATTACTCCATCACTGATTCATGTTGAAAGCAGCTAAAATTGATTTCTGTCTTTATTATCTCATGGGATCTGAAATTCCTGTTTTAGAATAATTTTAAAGAACATGGTATTGGACTTTACAGACAAGTACGTGCAGCAAGGGTGGAGTAAGAACTCAAATCTCTAAGAAAGCCATAGGTAATGATTATTAAAGCTGTATCTAAATGTTTTTTATACATTGAGTTGGGCGTTAGCATGACTGGGAGGTTTTCCTTTTAAGATCTGAGTTTTATTGAAGAATAAACCTTTATGAAAATATGCATGAATAAAGTAATACTAAATATTCTCAGTCATAGGTAAGAGCTGAGGGTGGCAATTGGTTTTATCTTTGGTTGGATTACCTGAAAACTTTGCTTTTATAAATTATAGGTATGAATATGTTATTGTATCTATCTTTGAAAACATCTCGAGCCAGATGCTTTGAGTTGGGTAGCTTCTAGAAGATATGTTAATCCTGGTTTTTACCAAGGCTTGGTTCAATGAACTGAAATAGCTCTCTATTTAAATAGCTCTGCCTTTGAGAGAACAAATTAATCATGTTATCTTCACGGACTAGCTCATGGTGGAAGAATCAATTAGCAGTGACATTTGATTGCTGCAAATAGACTAATCCAAAGTACTGTGTTCCAGACTCCCTCACATTCCCAAATAAAATATTTCATATTTAGTTTCTGAAAAAATATTAACTTTATGGTGATGACACTGTGTTTAAGAAACTGTCCTGTTAAAAATATCTCTTAAAATAGTACTGGTGTTTACCACTTTGCTCTTTGTCTTTTGTTTCATTGTGGCAACTTCCCTCACCACCACCACCACCACCCCCCGAAAAAGACATTAGATTTACCTTCAGAAAGCTGGTTTGAATCTTGGTCCTGCTATCAATTAGGTGCATCACTTTGGGAAAATTTTTTAGTTTGTAATAGCCTCATTTGTTTCATCTAAACATGGAAAAAGTAGCAATTCCCAGAGCAGTTCTGATGTCAAATGAAATAATATATATGAAAGCCCTTTACTGTGAATTGATGTATAAATATAACGAACATGATGATACTATACCTAGTTTAACTGATATTTCATCCAGTTAAGCTAATAATTACTATTTAATAGCCCTATTACTAAATACTATGAAGATCTTTCTAGCTACTATAGATGAGAGTCAAATAGAAAAATGCTTTAAATTTTTGTGTGTGTGCACATTATGGATGTGTTCCCTTTCCCTTTTCCTATCCTAATGAGTGTCTAAGGGAAAAAGATATTCTACTGATATGGGGTGCTGTTTTCCTCTATTAAAGTGTTGATACAGAGATTTTGTGTTGTAATAATAATTAGTAATAAACACTTCTTACTGTTGTTGTTAGGTGCTGTTGAGTCAGTTCTGACTCATAGAGGCCCTATGTATAACAGAATGCAAGGTTGCCTGGTCCTGCACCATCCTCACAAATCATTGGTGTGTTTGAGCCCGTTGTTGCAGCCACTGTGTCAAACCATCTCGTTGAGGGTCTTCCTCTTTTTCACTGACCCTCTACTTTACCAAGCAAGCGAACACTTAAATAATGATAATTATGTGCCAGACACTCCTCCCAGGCTTTTCCAGTAATAACCTATTCAGTCCTCCAACAACCAGGAGGTGGGTGCTGCTATCACCAGTGTAAGGGTGGTAAAACTAAGGCACAGAGAGGTTAACTTGCCCAAGATTACATAGTCAGTGTTATCAGTCTAATTTATTTTTCCCTTTTTATTTATCCCTTATGTATTCCCTTCATTTATCCTTTTCATTCAACTCGTAGGGAGGAATTTGGCAAAAATAATATATCAGGTAAAGGTGGTTTGAACACTACTTGGGTCTTGGATATCTCATTTTGGAAGAAATGCCTCTGCCTGCCTGCATGTTGGGATGAGGCAGATGTTGCATCTTATTTTCTTTATCTTTTCCTTTTTTAATCTCCAGTGCCTATTACTAAATACATTATCGTTAATTGAGTAGAATTAGTTGTCTGTTCTGAGCCCAGATTAAGTAACAAGAAACTAAACTGGTCAGAGAGGCTCTCAATCCTGTTCTGTGAGTGCAATAATTGGAAGAAAGGGCCCCGATTCCCATCTAAACAGGTGTTCCACCACTCAGACACTCTTTACCTTTTTTCTCAAACTTAGAATTTATTGGAATAAGTCATACACTGTGCTTATTCGGTCTTTTAACTTAGGCATGTTTCCATTCATTTAAACTACTCATTTATTCATTCATTAATTTTACAAATTTTTACTGAAGATCTCTCATTTGCCAGGCATGCTATGGGATGCTGGGGAGTAAGATGGTGAGTATGACAGGTACATCTCTGCTAGTGGAGTTACACACTAGTGGTAGAAGACAGTCAGTAATCAAATAGCCTCACAAATGGAAGTAACACAACTGCTGCAAGGGAGAAGAACATGGTTCTCTATAAAAGGATAAGAGAAGACATGTGGCAACTGGTTCCGATCCTAATTTGTTTCCTTTGTCCATCTTTGCCCTGTGTGAGATGTTAGAGACTTAGGAAGGAAGAGCAGAGGAAGGGCAAATCTAAAAGAAGGGATGGGGAGTGGAGTTGGGCAAGATAAACAGTACATAACACAGGCAGCCATGAGAGAAGAAAAACCTAACCTGAGCAGCCTAACCCATCTAATGAGTCCTTAGTACATCACTCTACCACAGAATAATAATTAGTATTTGTAATAACTATCATTTTTCAGGAAGAGTAATTGCGTATTCATTCTATTCAACTCAGTAAAAGAGGGAGGCGCGCAATGAATTTAGAGTCATTTCGGTTAACATGGTTTGAAATATTTTATTGTTTAAGTGTCACTGTTGTGGCAGCCTACTTATCCAGAATGTTGGGTAAATGAGACTAGTGCCTTCATTCTACAAAGATTTAAAAGCAAGGTGAATATTAATTGCAAAAATAGCACTAGACTAGAAGACAGACCTTGGTTTCTGATTCCAGCTGGTAGCTAGGCCTTAGATAAACAAAGGGAGAATGTCCCTACTGTTCGCGTCAGTGAAAATGGGATAAGAAAATGTTCCCCTGTGAGAATGTTCTGTTATACATGTATTCAATTAATTCTTGTTGTGAACATACCCTGTGTACTAGGAATATAGAGGTGAACAAAGGAGACACGACCCTTAACGCCATGGAGGTTATAGTTCAATGAGAGAAACCAACATTAATTTACAAATGGACTTTTATTTTTGCAGTTCCCTTGGCCTACAATGCTGGTCCCCTAGATGTGCTCATAGCTTGCACCGCACTTCAGTTGAATCTCTACTTAAATGGCACCTCTTCAGAGAAGCCTTCCTTAACTACCCCAGTATTCCACCCATCTCATAACGCACACTCTCTGTCCCTTGCTTTACTTTCCTTCATATTTCTTATCCCCATCTGTCATTCTCTTATATTATTATTTGTTTATCTTCACATCCAAGACTGAGGTGTAAGAATCATTGAGACAGACTTTGTCTTTCGTGCTCATTGGTATATATATACTATTTAGAATAGTGTCTGGCACATGGCAGGCCCTCAGTAAATATTTACTATACAAATGAGCAGATGAGATAATCACACAAGTATATAATTATCAATGATGATAAACAAATGAGGTAAGTGAAAGTACTTTCAAAACTATAAATATTCCACACATGCAAGGTGATGCTACTTATTTGAATCATAATCTGCCAGAAGATAACCTGTTTATTGCTTTCAGTTGTAGCATTCTGTTTAAACATTTACATCCTAAGAGTTTCTCTTCCTCTATGCATGTGGTTTGAAATATTGAGCTTTACCTTTATGGTTCTGTACCTTCCTCTTCTGCTCCAGTTCAGTTGTTCTCTAGAGTAGGTGGAGATTCTTACCTTAGATCCATGGACCTTTGTGAAATCAATTGTTGGTTCCTGAGGTCTTCTGTATTCCTCAAAATTGTATGCAGAGTGTGGTGATTCATGCGCATTTTACTGGAGAGAGTTCCCATAGCTCTCATCAGATTCTTACAGTATATATAACTTCCCACTCACCCCCAAGTTTAAAAATCATTGTTCTAAAATTTTGTATTTTTCTTTTACTTTTTTGTTGCTGTATTGGTGTATGTCTTTCTCCTTGAGATGGTTTCATTTTCCTTATTGTATTTGGGTATTTTTAAATGTTTACTGTTTGATGACAGTCCCCAGTGTGTGGTATGCTTCGTTTATTGTACGCATCTGATCCCAGCCTTTCTCTCTGTCTCTCTTTTGTCTGGCCAGCAGCTTGGGGATGTGCCAACTGCAGGGTTGACCTGTCCAACCCTTCTGGGACCTTCACATCTCCATGCTATCCTAACGACTACCCTAATAGCCAGGCTTGCATGTGGACCCTCCGGGCCCCCACCGGCTACATTATTCAGATAACGTTTAATGACTTCGACATTGAAGAAGCTCCCAATTGCATTTATGACTCATTATCCCTTGATAATGGAGAGAGCCAGACTAAATTTTGTGGAGCAACTGCCAAAGGCCTATCATTTAACTCAAGTGCAAATGAGATGCATGTGTCCTTTTCAAGTGACTTTAGCATCCAGAAGAAAGGTTTCAATGCCAGCTACACCAGAGGTATGTAAACCAAAGGCGGCGCCAACCTTCTGCTTTCATTTAACATGTTCTACAATAAACACAAGAACTAGAAGACAGAGTTATGCTCTTTTATGTGAATGTGAATGATTATGATTAGGATTTAAGGGCAAGAATCTGTTAATATTTTTGGAGCATTCTCATTAGCAATATATAGTTACCAGCTCCAAAATCTGGTTACAGTAGAGCGGACTTCTTTTATATTGTTTATATGCAGAACATTTAAAGGCTGCTTGGGATATATAATAGATATTACACTGATAATAATTAAAATCTGTAATTCTAACATCTCTCCACTGACAATTTAAGACATCCCTATTTAGAAATCCATTTATTTTGGGCTGTTAGGATGTTGCCCTTTTAAAGCACTCTGTTAAGAGACAAAGATAGAAAATTAGCCTGTAAATTAAAATGAAAAGGGCTATTAATAACTTAAGCTAATAATGTAACTCAAGGAAAATCCCCTGAAAATGACTAATTAAGGGAAATAAAACATATTTTTATTAAAATATAATTTCCAGATTCTGCACATAATAACATTTAAATATTCTTTCCAAACCTGTCTTTGGTTAAGGAAAACTTTTTCAAGATTCAAGACTATGAGGTTTCGTTATACTCTTTTTTTTTTTTTTTTTTAAACTCATGAGCTTCCTAAATAGATGCCATGTACAAAAAGAGAAAACAAAAACGAAAGGCACAACTATGACAGTGGCTGCCCATTAGTAGTGTAAATTGTGTTTTTACTTATGGAGTTATTTACTGTATGATGGACTTTAGGTATATGTGTGGTCAATTAAAACACACATGCTTTAATTTTTTTAATTAATATTTTAAGAATTATAAAATATAGGAAATTTGGAAATAAAAAATAGAAGGAAGTTGATGGCGCAGTGGTTAAGAGCTCGGCTGCTAACCAAAATGTCGACAGTTTGAATCCACCAGCTGCTCCTTGGAAACCCTATAGGACAGTTCTACTCTGTCCACTATGAGTAGGAATTGACTTGATGGCAACGGGTTTATACATCCACCACCCAGCCATAACCACTAATAATATGTTGACAGATACAATGCCTTCCGCACTTTTTGATTTTTAATGCATGTAGAATAGTGGATTCATATTGCTAAGCATCCTTTCAAATACAATTTAATAAAATAACAATTTTATTTTTTAAAGTAGACTAAAATCCATGATTCTATTAAATTCCATCTTTATATTTTTAACTAGAAATTTTAATTAAAGCCATGTTTTTATCATAGAGTTATTCCTTGTATATGTGGAGAGTAGAAAAGTTTAAAAATTAAGTTATAGGTCAGTGTGTTATAAGGGAATGTTCATGGACTTTGGAGTCAGGCAAAATAACTTAGAATGCTAGGTTTTTTTGTTTAATTCCTCATGACATTCGACTTCCTTGAATCACAGTTTCCTCATTTATTAAATGAAGACATCAGTAAGTTAATATGCAGAGTTATTGTATGATGGACTCTATGAGATAATGCTTATAGAAGAACTCAACAATGCCTGACACATACGATATCAATAAGTAGTATCTATTATTCTTCTCATTGTTATTACTATTGGTATAACGCTATTGGTAATGGGTTGATGATAGAGAGGGTTGACAGAAATAAAGGGGAATGAGTAAAACGTTAATTAGTAGAGTGATGAAGTGGTCTGGTATATCAGACTTTTTACGTCTCGTTAGGCAATGTTCTGGAATTAACATTCTCTCTCTGCTATTATGTTTTGTTATAGTTGCTGTGTCCTTAAGGAATCAAAAGGTTATTTTGCCCCAGACGCTAGATGCTTACCAGGTATCTGTTGCAAAAAGTGTCTCCATTCCAGAGCTCAGCGCTTTCTCACTCTGCTTTGAAGCAACCAAAATTGGCAATGAAGCCAATGACTGGACAGCTTTCTCCTACTCAGATGCATCCTTCACACAATTACTCAGTTTTGGAAAGGACCAGAGTGGCTACTTTCTAACTATCTCTGGCTTGAGGTGTTTCCTTAATAGTGTGTTACCTGACAAGGAAAATGAAGACGTTTTCACAGAAAGCTTTGAGCAGCTCTGCATTGTTTGGAATAATTCCTTGGGCTCTGTTGGTGTCTATTTCAAAAGAAACTATGAAATGGTTCCATGTGATTCTACCATTAACAGAGTTATTCCTGGGAGTGGGAAATTGTTGTTGGGCTCCAATCAAAATGAAATTGCCTCTCTAAAAGGGGACATTTATAACTTTCGACTTTGGAATTTTACCATGAATTCCAAAATCCTCTCCAATCTCAGCTGTAATGTGAAAGGAAATGTGGTTGACTGGCAGAATGATTTCTGGAATATCCCAACCCTAGCTCTGAAGGCTGAAAACAACCTGAGCTGTGGTAAGTCTGTGGCATATTCACCCATGTCTTTCAGCATTGTTTTATGAATGTATTTGCCAACAAGAAATTTTATCCACACACACACACGCGCGCACACACACGTACATAGATAATTGTTGTTAACGAGCTATTTTAATTTTTAAAATGTGATCTGCTCAGCCATTCATAGTAACAAGCTGATCTTTATCATCCTGGAGTGAAATTTCAATTACATTATTTAAATAAACAACTACCACCTAAAAGAATGATACTTATCTAGCCCGTGTTAAGTATTAAAACTGTTTATTTTATGGAAAAATCTCGATAATCAATCATCAATTTTGTCTTTGAAGTTTTTCCTCCATTGGTTTGAAAGTGAGCATTTGTCATTTGTTTCAGATACTCTTCTCTTTTTGGTTGATCTTTGAGAAACTTTATACGTGATATTATTGGAAGTGGCTGAATGCAGAGTATTTAGGGAAGTAATTCTATGTAACAAAAATTAAATTAAAATAGACTTCCGTCAGTTTTTCTCCATGTACATAGTTAATTCTGGAAGTCCTTATTTTACTATAGGACTGATTAAAACGTAGCATCTCCATTATTGATTTTGAAGGTCATGTGACTAGATACAAGCTGTTGATAATATATATTCTTTAGGCACAGAAATAACTTTCAGTAAAAGAGGGAAGAAGAGGCCTCGTATTCAGCAGTAATTTGTGTTTGACTTTGGAGGAAATTTTGTCAGAAATTCATTTCCAACACTTTGAACAAACTGGGGAGACCTGAGGCTAATCTCCCCAGCTTCTTGAGCCTGTGCCCTGTCCTTCTAGCCTGGAATTCTCCTGTTACCTACCTTTCCCTGTGGGTCACCCACCTCTCTGTGTGGTCCACGGCACTCCTGCAGATGTTGAGCAAGCTACTAGTGACGTCATTTGAGAGATATTTCCTTCTGGGTTGTTGGAGAGAGGGTAGATTATGACCCTATCCAGAAGGAGACTACAGAGTTTTATAAGAGCTAGTGATAGTCACCCGTATCCTCTTTCAAGCTAAGATTTGATAGCTAAGTGGTGACTGCTGCTTTTGAAGGGGCTTTAGCCTTTACCACTCCCATATTCTTCTCATGCACATCAGCCCCCTTTCTGGCTTAGACTGCCTCTAGCCCCTCCAGGCATTTATTTTTGGGAGTCCCAATCTAGGGCACACCCTTCTCTTCATATAGACATAAAACTGAAGCCTAGAAAAAAATAAATGGCTTGTCCAGGCTGGAGGCAGTTAGTGGGCTAAAGCTCATGTCTGCTGTCTCCTTGTCCAGTGTTTTCATCTGAGAGTCCCCCTGTTTTCTTTAACATGCTCTTTAAGACTCCTTTCCAAAACCTTAAGGTTACCAGAATGCATCACATACTTGCTTACTCACGTAGCTTAATCATCAGTCGGTTTCAAAATGATTTCAGTCAATGGAAAAGCACGACCTTAACGGAGTCAATATATTTGAGTCCATTTATTTATTTATTTTATGGTGGTAAAATACACCCTTCAGTTTTTATTGTCGCCTTCTTGACATTCCAAGATGATACTGAACACCCTATTCTGTACATTCATATGTCCTGGAATGTGTTTCAGGAGTAGTAATAGGGGAATTTCCTGCTGCTTAATCATAAGCTTTGGGAGTTGAAGAACCTAAGTCACTTATTAACTGACAGGAAATACTTGTAACAGAGATCATATCTGGGCCTGTTAGCTAAGCAGAACTTCAGTAAATGAAAAAAAAGTGTGCTCTGTTAACATTTTAACCTTTCTTTTTTCCAAGACATTGTAGCTTGCTGTTTAGGGTAATAGCAGTTTCCAGCAAACTAATGGTTGGTACAGTAGCCAATGGCAAAATAGAATTTCATTCCTAATATTCCATTGGACTGACAATGTCGGTTAAACATGAGCTTTTATTTCAGGATCAACTTATGATAGAAAATTAATAGCTTTGTCAAAAGCTAATTGCTAAGTAAGACAGTGGAACAGAACTGACTGCTTTTAATATTAAAATGTCCTGTCATTTGTTTCAAATATTAACTGTCCTAGCCTTAATAAGTTATATTTTTTATTAGTAAGTGTTTCAACATTTTCAGAGTTGCATTTATTTTCCTATACTTTTCTAATCATATTTGGGATTATAGCTTAAGAAATTTACAACAGGTTTGTTTTTTTTTTTTTTTTTACATGGTTAATCTTTCCTTGTCTGTCCTTTTTTTCAAAAAGAAATGTTTTATTTAGCAGTATTTTTTTTTCCTTTTATAGCAACATTATTTTTCTTAGAACTGTTTCATTAAACATTTAGTTTTAAGACCTCCTTGGATAGACAGTTTTCTTAGTGGACCCTTTAATTATAGGCACAAGTATCTGCCTGTGTTATAATTCAAGTTTAGACACTGGCTAATTTCCATCAATTTTCACAAAGAACAGACAGTACCATCTGTACCATTTTTATTTATTTTACTGATGACTGCTCTTTCCTGAGGAGTGGTACAGTTTAATTCAATGAATAGTCCAAGTTCAAACAAGTCAGATTTATGTAACAAGCATTTATTAAGCACTTCTATTTATTAGCCACTGTGGTGTGGAGATAAGGCATGGTTCGTATGTAACCAACTTTGTTATTCTTTACTAAAAATTTTTAGATTTGTACTGACTTTTATTTTTACCTCCAGAATATTATACCTAGTTCATAAGGCTTTATCAGCTTTTGGATTCCTACCCTTTCATGCATTTTCTGTTATTGCAGTTTTGTCCTTTCCTTCTGTAAAATTCTGATTGATTATTGGCCCCCAAATTATTGGGTGTATTGTTTTTAGATTACTAAATCATTTTTTAAATAATAAAATAAAGATAAACCCTTTATAAAGTACTTCACTCTTTGAAGATGCCCTAACTCCATAAATCACTTCCAGAAATAATTTTATTTAAAATATATTTATTTATGAAAAATGTAAATTTCATCTTAGTAACAACTACAAAGAGAGAATTGAATTTTTTTTCTGTTGTTGCAACTTAGTGTGAGGGTTTACACTGCTACTGTTTGGATTATCGTTAAGCAGGATGTGAGATAAATCGTTGGTTATACATCAGTGTTTTTTAGCACAACTTGTATAAAAATAGTGAACCATTTTACTAGCATGATTTTGGAAGAAGAATGACAGGTATAGGAGAGAAATGAACAGGTTTACAGATTTTCATCAACTTCCTGTATTCAGCAATTACATTTTTTTCAAGAAAATCCAGCTCTAAATTTTGCCATTAATATTAACTAAACACCTTTAAACACCTTTGTGATATCCACAAAAATCAAGGAACACACATAGGTCACATTCTGAAGACAATTCATTGGTAATAATATATCACCATCTAGGAGAGAGGGTTGCCTGTACTCCTTTACCAGTTTCCTGGTTTGTAAATCTACTATCCCAGGAAAATCGAGTGTGAGAAGTGACTTTTCTAGTTGCTGAAAATGTAACTGTGTACAAATAAAAATTTGTATACTTTTTACATTTTGTGTATTTACATAAATTGGTGTATTTGTGATATAAAATTGCATTTATCAATATAATTTCCTTCTAATTAAATCTGTTACTTTTATTTACACCATTTTCATCAAATCTTCAAATTTCTATTGCCATATCGGATCACAGTAAAATAAGGCTTGTTGAGGATTTATAGAGCAGTGTCAATTTACTGAACTAGAAGTGCCCAGAAGGAACTTGACCCTTAAACAACTAATAAAATATTGTGAAGCAACTCTTACAGTTTTCCATGATAAGCATGTCACGTAATTAAATTTATGATTGTTCCCATACAATGAAACTGAGGAAATAGTCAAGAAAATTGTTAAATATCTTGCTCCAGATCATAGTTGTTCTGATTTTCATTCCTTATTTCCACCTCTAAGCTCTTTAATATACTGTAATAGAAATGTCATTAGCCTAAAAACTTCTTTCTCACAACATAGTCCCCTTATCTCCCTTTGTCTTCCAGAGATATTGTATCAGTGCCAGACATGGCCTAGGGAGCCTCTGACTGCCAACACTACGTGTAATTTGAGAAGCACAGAAACACCATGCAAGGGTCCCCTCTGTTGAATGTCACAGTGGCTGAGATTTCATCAGTCACTTTGGGTTTTAAAGGCTTTTTAGTTTTCAAAGTCCCTTACTAAAATATTAGTACCTTTTGAAGAAATAAGATTCTGTAAGAAGGGGGCATAAGTTAAGTATGATGGGAACAAAATAATGGGCAGAAGACACCCAAGATAAAATTCTACCTCAGTTCTGTCTGAGGCTGGCTCTGTAGCTTCAACCTCTGCTTCCTCAAGTGCTCTTTTCTCATAGTGTACGTGGTTAAGACTTCAATCTTTAAAAAATCCCCTTCTAGCTACCTCCTTATTTCTCTACTTCGTTTCACAGCCAAGTTTCCTCTTCTTCCTTAAACCTCAGCAGTCTAGATTTCATCACTTCCAAGCTACTGAAACTAATCTCTCTAAAACTTCTACCAGAATTCCAACTGCAAAGTTAAAGGTCTTCTCCATCTTTATCATTTTTTACCTTTCTGGTGTACTTGATATAGCCTCACCCTCCATGAAACTTCCTTCACTGGAATTCTGCAGTATTACCTTCTACAATCCCACCTTTACCTTCTCAGGTCCTTAGCTCTTTTTCTTATATCTGATACTTCAGCATAGGAATCTCTATGGTTCCATCTGTTCTCTTTTTAATCTACCCTCTAGCCCTGGAGATCCCAGACATATCTACAGCTTTTGTTGAGTATTTCCTGGCTAGACTTTTTTCAAAAACATGTACAACAATCCATGTATCTAAATGTGACACAGACACCACCGTTTCCACGTCCGAACTATTTACCCCACCACATCTGAGTTTGCTCTTCTTCCCGTATTTTCTGTCTTTTATGATACCATTATATACTAGTTTCTCAAGTTAGAAATCATGAAGACATCTTCTGTTCTTCATTTTCTTTCCCTGTTGTCCAGTTAGTCACTAAATCTTACAGTTCTATCTGTCTCTTCCTTTCCATCCTCATTGACTCATGATATCAAGCCTGAATTATTAGTGTTATTCCTGCTTCCCGTATGTCTTCTCTTTCAGTTGGTTGTGGTATATGAAACGTGATTGTTTTAAAATATAAATCTAATTTTCTCACCTAACTTCCCTTCATTTTTTCCTATTGATGTTAAGACAGAGTTCTAACTTTTAGGAGTCATTAATAATGTACTCAATAATTTATTCAGTAATGATTGAGCACCCACCTACTATGTGTGGGGTGTACACCACTGACGAAAGACACAGGGTCCTTGAACTGCTGGTGCTTATATTCTAATAAGGCCCTTCACAAGCTACCCATTACCTATATCTCCATACCTCCTACCAATTTTCTGCAATTATGATATGCCAGTAATGTCAAGTTACTTGAGTTTCTAGAACTTTTCAGTGCTTCCTTGGCATAAGTTGCAGCTATTCTGTCTGCTAGTAATACTCACTTCTACTTTACCCCAGATCAATGTAGTGACCCCTCATATGCCCCACAGGTCTCCTTCTTTTTGATAATTTTCCTGTTTACCCTTCTCTGATCACTTCCTTCTTAGGGTCACTATCACCCTCTGAGCACTTCATTTACAGTACTCAGAGAAGTATGAAATCATCTCCCATTAACTCCCACTCATACCTCTCTGACTTACCAGACAGGAGCTCCCTGAGAGGAGCGACATTGTCTCCTAGCCCCTGTGCCTTACACATTGTAGGCAGTGAGTCAGTGTTTATTGAACGAACAGGGTAAGCTTGATTGACGATGAGAGCATCTGGACAATTAATGTCTCAGACCTGCCTGTAGGATTGGACCTTTCTTATACAATATGATTCCTTCCGTGGGCCAGGTGCCTAAGGCCGTCAAGAATGGCAAAATTATGCCTACTGGTATGCTGTTAAACAGTTGGGATACTTTCTGCTTACATACGTCCATTTACCTAATTAGACATCATTTGTTAGCTCACGCACCTGTTCTGTCTTCACGTGCTGTTCCCACAGGAACGTTTGGGGAAATGTTTAAACTGAGGATAAAATCACTATTACAGAAATGTCCTTTAAAGTTTAAAAACAAAACATTTATTTGTATTTACTCCTGTGTCTTTATTCATAGTGAATGATGGTTTGTGATAAGTTGAGTCAATGTTCCCCAAGCCTCAGTCTGTGAAAGTTTGTTAATTGTCAGAGGAAGATGTAGTGCAACAGAGAAAACCCACCTAGTTAAAAATTCCTAGTAGAAAATCAGCTCAAAACTTGTTTCCCACTGAGGGTGTCAATAAAAGCTTGAGATAAAAAGAGAACCTGAATTGAAGTCACAAAAACACTCTTAGAATTGCAAATAGCATATGCTAGTGCCAATGAACCAAAAATATGCCTTTGATGAGTAATTAATAATGTCTAAGTTCACTTTTCAAACGAATCCTTGATTATTTCATTGTATGAGTTTCCACCAGAGCCTTATAAATTATTATGCAAAAAGGCACCATGCTTTTAACAAACTTTAAGAGGCAATACCACTTCTTATCCTTTCATGTGTGTATGCCCCATAAAATTGAAGATTTTGAGGGCAATTTCAACACTTTTACTTTACGCTTGAGAAGATTAAGGCACAGAGAACTTACGTGACGTTCACGATGTTGGAGCAGTACTAGTGGACTCTCCCCTGGCTCCTGGTACACCAACCATATGACTCATGATTTTGTTTGGATAATGTCACTAGATCATAAGTCAAACTTGTATAACCTCTCTCTGTTGATTAAGGTTCCTACTTGATCCCACTCCCAGCAGCAGAGCTAGCCAACTGTGCGGATCTGGGGACCCTCTGCCAAGGTAGGGAGACGACGTCTTCCTCAGAAGTCTCTCTGTTTCCTGTTTTGGATAATGTAGTTGTCACTGTTTTGATTTTGATCTTAGCTTTCACTGGAAAAGCCAGAAACCAGTAAAACAGAAGAATTTCTGGATGTGTTCTAGTTGTGTGGGTGCACAGTACATACACAGTGGAGAAAGAAGGCATTTACACACTGGATGACCACATTTCCTTAAAGCACTGAGTTTTTTAAATGTGAATGATTATATGCTATTGAATAGGGGTTTATTTTATTTTTTCCCTCTATTTCTTCTCGAGAACGTTGCACTGATCCAGTAAAAATACCATCAGACAGTATTCCAAAGAAGTATTCATGTCCATAAAACAGGTGGAAAATGGTACAATAAAGTTGAATACTCAATTAAGTGTAAGACAAGGGTATGAGGCAATTTATGATGTGAAATATAACTTAAATACTAAGATAAAAATATATCTATTAAGCTAATATAATATAATTAAATTAAATATTATGAAGCATAATGATATTATTGTCACTGTTTTAATTATATATTATGTACTAAATAGTTAATATGCTAAATAGTATATAATTAAAGTCATGCAATTATTAAATAATAATAAAAATATTATGCTTTAGTTTTATCATTATTCCTTCTAATTACCTGTGACCCTTTTTCATCTATTTATTCTACTGAATGCTTCTTTATGAAGTAGCATGTTCTGTGTACCACATTAAGAATCATGACCATGCCTTTGTAGAAGCTGAATCTTTTATTAAGAGGATCACATCATGAAGATGACAGATTACAAGTGAGACTAAATGTAGAGACATAAGCTCTCTTTTGTGGTTCAGGTATGGTGAATAGGGCAGGCAGAGGAAGGGGTGTAACAGAAAGGTGTTGCCCTTTCCGAGACACAGTTTCTCAAATATTATTATTGATCACTACCCTATGAAAATGTCATCATGTCGTATTTTCTGTGGTTTTAAAATAGTTATATGAAATAGAAAAAAAAACCTTATTTTTGTTGAGTTCAAGATCTGATGTGTTTTTGTTTTTTTTTTTTCCTTTTAACCTGAGCTATCTATTATACTGATTCATACGTAAAAGGACCAGATATCAAGACTTCATTTCCTTCGTCTTAAAAAAAAGAGCCCTGGTGGCACAGTGGTTAAGCGCTTGGCTGCTAACCAAAAGATCAGCGGTTCAAAACCACCAGCCTCTGCAGGAGAAAGCTGTGGCAGTCAGCTTCCATAAAGATTACAGTCTTGGAAACTCTATGGGGCAGTTCTGCTCTGTCCTATAGTGTCGCTATGAGTCAGAATCAACTCGATGGCAATGGAGTTTGGTTTTTTTTTTTTTTTGGTTTATGTCTTAAATGTCCAAAAGACATTTTCCTGTTCATTGATACAGTTTACATTAATATAAATATAATTGATTGTTCATAATAAAAGAAAAATAAAGACTTTTAAAAAGATTTCCCATTCTTATATTTCTTTGAGGTGGAAAATGATCTTAGTTAAGGATACATATTTTGAATAAAAAAATTCAATATTTTATAGAGAGTCTTTTAGAAGGTAATTTTCTACATAATCACTTAAATGTTCTAACAGTAGGTAATTTTGGTAAAATTAAGAGTGATATAAAAATAAATGATGATTGTACATATGAATGTACATCTATTACAAATGTTATCCTAAAATAATCTAAGGATAAATTACATGTGTCATTTATTTTACTACTTTTATGGCTCTTCCATAATCTCTTAGGAAGATGTTATCAAAGCATTACATGAAGTTTTCATCTGAAACTCTGAACTCTTTCAGAGTTTTAATAATATCAAACCCATAGCTGTGACATAATGCTTTGAAAATGTCTCCCCTGTAAGGCTTGCCCTTGTGAAACCCTTTTTAATCCATCAACTTTAGTAAACTTATTTGTATCTTCAAATGGTTGACTTAGGCTATGCATTTTATTCCCGTTTGTTTTTTTTACATTTATCTTCTCAAGGAGAAATAAGATTTCTTCTGAGATTTTATTTTTCTCGTCTCAGTGTGTCAGGAAGACTTGACATAGTTTAGATACTTTCAAGCTGGTAGGTTCTTTAAACTGCCTTCTGTAACCGTTTCATTTTGCAAACTCAGGAAACCGAGTTTGAGAAAGGCTTACTAATCTATTGTGTGGTCATCAGCCTGCTAATGGCAGACCTGCATTTAGAATCTTAAGTGTCTTTGCTCCAGTCTCTTTGTGCTAGAGCCGGACCTTTTGTACAATATAACAACAAAGGGCATGTAAACTGATTCTTAATGTGCCATAAGAAAGCATTGCTGCATTTTATGCATTATAACCTGGGAGTCTGTTGTATTCAGTGCCAAGCAATGGTTCCCATTCTTCCTCTATATATATTAATTGTAGATTGCGCATCCATATTAACTGTCATGTGCTCCTTGCAAAATTACATCTTTCTGATCTTTATTACCAGCTACTGTAAACTCTCCTAGTGCTACACCACCCACTGTCACCACTAACATGCCCGTTACTAACAGAGTCGATAAACAAAAGAATGGTAAGATATCATCATCACCTTTTATATTTGTAATATGTCTGATGTGATAAAAAATTGTATTCAAAGGATGAGTATCTACTGTTCCAGCCAAGTTTGCCTGTTATCCAAGATGTTTAGATTCATTAGTTACGTTTGTACCTTTGCAAGACTAGTAAAATAAATATTACTTGACTCTCTGAGTACCCTGTCCTTATAACCAGTGGAATGAATATACCTTCAGTTCTACTCTCCTATACTTGTAATGAAAATCTCTTTCAAAAGAAGTTTTAAGAGAAAGACATTTAATTAAAAGGAATTAGTTTGCATTGTAATAGAGATCTGTGAACACAGCCATTCTGTTAGAGGTCTCATAGTTTTGTGAGATTGTTCTCTTCAGGAAACTAGGTTTTTTAAAGAATTTTATAATTTCAAAACTGAATAATCTTCCGTCATTTAATATCTCAGTGAAGTCATTATTTATACTCAGGCATTTCGGACATTTTAATCAATTTCTATGGCAATGCCCTTTGTTTTATTTGTTGAAGAATAATGGTGAGAATGTGATTATATATCAGCTAAATCGTAAATCAGTTTTTGAATGAGAAAAATTCAAGTAATTGCCAACACATTATGTCTTTTTTCATATATACTTTTCTATTTATATTATTTGTAATTTGAAACTATATCAGTTGTATAATGTAAGAAATGAGCAGGGGAAAAAGCCATGTGATTTATTATTTAATTCTCTACCTGTATGAACCACATACATAGCCTTTTGGTAATTCAGGGTTTGTGACTTTGGTTTCTTCTAATTCAGGGACATTCCAATCAGGTGAATACAGTATTATTCTCAAATATGAAATATTAGAAATAAAGGAATTTTCTCAACCCCAGTCACTTAACTCGTGAGGCCAAGACATCTGTAATGTATCACTAGAGACCCAAAACTCAGCAGAAAGAAACCCACATAGTTTGCTTTTTCTTTTGGCTTTGGGGTTACATCAACTTCCTCTGTAAGGATATTTAAATTGGAAGTATGGAATTTTTTACGTTAAATGTAGATATAAATTTCATTAGGGTTATAAAGACACTGATTCAGAGAAGTGTTTATAGTTATTCTGGTAGTTGCACCAAAGAGATTTATGATGGAGCAAAAATTCCAGCAACCCCAAGAAAGCAACAGCAGCTGGATTTTCCAGTGCATATTTCACATGGCCTCCAGCCAGCAGATGGGAATATTATAATTCTAACTCAGTATTTCAGTCTTTGTATGAGCATACAAAGAGCCTCTGTGGCATTCTCCCTCCAGGACTGGCACATCCTCTGCTGCCCAAGAACATTTATATGATGCTTCAGAGTCCTTGACTTGGTGGAGTGGGGCTGTATTCACTCAGTCATGTCACTTCTGACATTTTTGAAGAGAGCCTTGTTCAGCCCATCTCTCTCTGCGTCATAACCTTCATCAGAGTTTCAACAAAGCAAGGAAATGTTAGAATCAGATAAAATGGTTTATTTTGACTCCATTAAAGAAAAAATAGAATCTAATTCAGATGATTCTTGATAAAAATTAATACTAGCATTTAAAAATATTCAAAGGTTAATGTGTGGTAGAAATATTCTCAAATGTGTATACTCAAATTTGGGTGCCACCTTAACAATTTTTACCATAACCATGAGGTACCTGTACTATTTGCTTAATAGTTTTTTTTTTCCTAAATTGACTCACTCTTTTACTTAAATATTTTAATTACTATATTTTTATGCAAATAATAAGTTTTTGCCAACCATGCAACCCACTTGCACATTATTTTCCTAGATGTGCTATGCACGTTATATGTGTGTGTGCATTATTTGCAAAAAAAAAAATTATGGTATATGGAGCAATTTCGGAGCCCTGGTGGTGTAGTGGTTAAGAGCTTGGCTGCTAACCAAAAGATTGGCAGTTCGAATCCACCAGTCGCTCCTTGGAAACCCTATGAGGGCAGTTCTACTCTGTCCTGTAGGGGGTCCCTATGAGTCAGAATCGATTCGACCGCAACGGATTTGGTTTTTGTGGTTTTATGGTAAAGTGACACCAATACAGTTTGTTACAAAATAGAAAGTGGATGTGAAAAAAAACGATGAAAACAATGTTATTGAATTCTCCAAATACTGTATTGCCTGCTCAAGTCTCAGAAAGCTTCATTATCTTTTTTAAAAGGGAGAGTAAAAAAGTATTAGAGACAGACTATAACCTAATTAGGGTTTTTCTTTGATGTGATCAAATTTGAAGTAATTTAAAAGAGAATGACTCTTTCACTTGTTAGATGCCGTCAAATTGATTGATAGGTTAGAGAATTCCATTTTATTCACTGTAAGAAATATAGGCACAACTGTCAAATATGTTCTCCACTTCATTAAGTTTTTTAACTCTGAACTCAAAGAACCTTGAGTCCACCAGGAATGTAGTCCAGGTGGAGAGAGGGTGGAGGGGTTGAGACTGTTTTACTATCAGATATATTTCTACAATATATCATAATATCTTCTATTTTTCTATAAAATGTAATTTAATTTACAATTGTGATGTAGAAAATTAAAAGAAAACTGTAAATGTGTCTTAAAAAATGTCCAAGGGAGAAAATAGCATTCTTCAGTTAAATACCTAACTATTCATCCACTTGATGGGACAGAGAAGAAGTAAATTCTTGACAACCAAAGATTTAGGAGAGGTAATGGTAATTTGTATGAAGATCATCTTTCTCTCAGACTTCACTCAAAAAGTTTCACTTACCTTGGCATCTTCTGGAAGCCAATTTTCCCAGCTTTTATAATGTATTCCTATTTTTCTCTGTAAAGTTCTCCTCATAATTTTCAGCAGAACTTTTATCCAATGCCTCAGATTATATACTAAGAAAATCTTACCTTCTAATCTACTTTTCACAAACAGTATTTTAGTATATAATGGATAATCACCCTAGGTATTCCCACAAAGAATGAACCTTTGTGCCTTTTCCATTATATTTCCAAGAAAAGCTCCTGAACTAAATATTATTTCTATTCCAAATCATATTTTCTATACCTGAAATGTCACTCCAGTGGTACTGAATAGTAAACTGAAGCCAGTGCAAGCAACCCAAGTCAGGACTAACTTAATTGTTCTTTATTTTTCTAAAATCCATTGTTCTAAAAACCTAGCTTACCAGTACAAATTATAACTCTCTTATTTTATTAGCTTATTACTTAGTTTCCCATGTATGGGTAGCTATTTGAATAACAAACTCGTTCTCAGGATGTTTGGATCAATCCAACACTCAATCTAGCTTTATATGCCAGATATCTTAAAGAACTGTGTATGTAAAATCAGCAGGACTCCAGCCATATTGTAAATGCCTCTGTCATATTCACAATTGCTTCATCACCAGTCAGAGAAATAATCTTGAATCTAAAGTAACATTTAGTTTATATTTTAACATCTATATTTTCAAACCTGTATTTCATACCCTTTAATAAACAGTAGATAAAGTAGTGTCATTTCTATATACTCCAGGAAATTCTGAAGACAGTGTTATTAAGAAGTCAAAAAGTAAAAAAAAAGGAAAGATTAATTGAAGAGATAGGGAAAGTAGTACTGTTTCGATACCGTGTCTGTAAGGGCAGACAGTGATTTCCTTTTGGAAGTTCTGCATGGCTGAAAAAGTTATCTGATTGGAGGATGGATATATACTTAAATACTTTTTTTTCATGAAATGTCTATCATGATTTTTTTTTATATGGATGCTGTTATTAGGACAATACGTACATCTTTTGAAGTCTCTTGGAAACATGAAGATTTGTGAATAGCTCTTACAGTAAGACAACACAGGAGTAATTACATCTATTAGAGAAGACAACTTGACTACTATGACAACAGGGAAAATCCCCCCTCAGTTTATATTAATTGTGCATTTTCTCCGATGACAGTGATTAACCAGGGTATTTTGCTGCAATCCCAAAATCCTCATCAGTAGACTTTCTTTTTTTTAAAAAAAAAAAATCTTGCTTTGCTGATTCACTCTTGGACATTTTTCATAATTGTTTACTATGTAATTCAACATTTTTAATAAGTAGAAAAAAGTAGACTGTTGAGTAATTTTTTACTAAATTCATAAAATCTTACTCTGAGGTTTCTGAAAGAGCCTACTTGAAAATTATTCATAGCACGGGAGACTCTATAATATAAGATACTAGCTTATTTGTGATATAAACATATTTAATTTGCAATAAGAAATATGACTCTAGGGAGCGTACCATGTTTATACGTTGATTTAGCTATGTCCAATATTGGATGGGAACCCCAGTGGTGCAATAGTTAAGCTCTTGACTTGTAACCACAAGTTCGGAAGTTCAAACCCACCAACTGCTCCTCTGGAGAAAGATGTGGCAGTCTGCTTCCGTAAAGATTTACAGCCTTGAAAACTTTATGGAGGCAGTTCTTCTCTGTCTCACAGGGTCGCTATGAGTCAGAATCGACTCGACAGCGATGGCTTTCTTTCTTTTAATTCAATATTGGATGCCTTGCTAGTTGATAAAAACAATGAATTGTCAGTCAGGAAAATTTAAATTAAAAATTTAAATTAAAAATTTAAAGAAAAATACCTTAATTGTTGGGATGTTTCAGAAACATCAGTAATTAAACATATTGAGTTTTACTATTTTGCAGTATTTTCCTAAGAGAAGGAAAGAATAATACTCCTATTATACCAAAAGTGTGCTTTAGGTCTCCATCTAGTGGTACCTTGTCAGTTACTCTACTAACATCAAAGAATGTTCACAGCAGATCCTGAGGATCCTGAAATAACTCTTGGACCTCTCACACTTCAATTTCCTGTCAGTCATTCCACACTGTCGATCGTTAAGTTGATGAGATCTATGTGGAAAAAATTTTCTAAAGGAATTATTATCATGTTTAGTTCAGGAGTTTTTTTTTTTAAAGAATATGACATTTTTTAAGGGAAGATCATTAAAATACCTGAACAGTTTTACAAGTTTAAATAACCTGGTCTGCATGAATTAAACTCAGCTGTCCTTGAACTTGTGTCAGTTATATATATTTATATTATTACATCTGGGAGTGGCATTTTCTGTTCTTTAGCATGAGACTCTGATTCGTTACTGGGAAGACATTCTTTTTGTAGTGGGCCTGGAATTTGCTTTTGGGTAGATTTGGCTGTTGCCAGAGGCAGACTTTTGTATTTTTTCTGCCACCTCCTCATAATCTGCATTAAATCTGTTCCCCAGCATTGTTTTAATTATATGTCTACAATATATTTGAATATTTTACCTGAGACTTCCATAAACAAAAGCTTGAAGAAAGATGCTTGACAATAATAGAGATTCAAAATAATTTTCTTCTCCCTATACCTTATCATATTTTAAAAGGTTATTTGTCTCAGTAGCTACTTTTGCAAAAGTTCCACATAGCACATATCTGGAGAGATTTAGGAAACCCTGGCTGGTGAGTTTGATTTTCATTTAAAAAAAATCAGTCTACTTTAAGAATTGCCACAAAAAGAGAAAACCAAAACCTTCTCCACACAGACGTAAGATTTTCTTCTTAAAGCAAGTTAGTCCATTAAAATTTTACTCAGAAATATTTTTTACTTTGTCTTCTACTCTGGTACAAATGGCCACATTTATGGTATTTTAATGAAAAATCTGGTGATACCTAACCCAGTATCTTAGTAGAAGTAAATGCTTTGTTGGAGAGGGAAAAGTTAGGGAGAGGAAATAACCTAAAACAATAATTTGCCATCATACAAATGATGTAAATAATACGTATTAAAATATCAGGAAACTTACCTGTTTTAAGCCAGATTACAATAAAAAATCTTTATGTGATCATCATAATAATGAATTTTCTGTGAAGAAGCTGCTAGTAATATTTTGTGTTCCATGATTATATTGAGTTTTTGGGAACTAGTATTCCTGCTAGAGAAAGAAGATTTTTAAGGGAAGACTAAGGGGTTGAGGGCAGTAAGTATGTATATGCCTATTTTTCTTTCCTTTTTTTTTTTAATCTCCTGCCCCTCATTTCATTCAAGTTTTAACATCCCAAAGTCTATCATTCTTTATAATATAGAAAAAAATTATAATATCTCATTACAGGAGATCAAATTGTACGTTAAAAATCACTAGTATTATGGACAGTAGGTATCAGAAATTTATAGAATTAAAAAAAAAGAAGAAATACATGCAGGTGATAATTTAGGAGCAATAAATTACCTACAAGAATAAACTAATTTGTAACTATTTCTAAGAAGTTTTAAAGATCATTGAGCATAAAATAAAAATATCTCAAAATTTTGTATACCTACCCATAGGGTGTTTCTTTTAAATTGTATGAAATGTGTCATTGTAAATTCGAGTTGTATGATAATTATGTGACCCTAAAAATATAATTAATGGATCAAATCCTATTTCTAATGGACAGATGGAATTGTCTATAGGATCTCCATAGTGATTGAAAACGTCCTTCATCACCCTGAGGTAAAAGTACAGAGCAAGGTGGCAGAATGGGTAAGTGAACTTCTAAAATTTTTTGTTTTGTTTTAAATATTTAACCTCTGGAAATCTGCAATAATACAGAGTTGAAACACTTGAAAGAGACCACTAATATGGGTAACTAAATCCACAGATCATACTGAAACACAGGTACTGTTTATTATAAATATATGAATAACAAAAAAAAAAAAAAAACTCACCATCGAATTGATTCCAACTCATAGAGACCCTACAGAACAGAGTAGAACTTCTCCATAGGGTTTCCAAGGAGTGGCTGGTGATTTCAAATGGCCGACCTTTTGGTTAGCAGCTGAACCCTTAACCACTGTGCCACCAGGGCCCACAAAATATGTGAACAGATATATAATAAATGATGTGCTGCACTTATGCATAGAAAGAGAGGTTCATTTGAATAAAGGATCAGAAATGGAAAGTAATAGACAATCAATGTCTTAAATTAAAAAAGTACCACACAAATGGAAATAAATTTTGATAGGTATCTTTATTTGCTATTATATCCATACATTTTCAACAATGTTTTTTAAAATATAGTTTTTAATTTAATTTTTTGAATATTTGGTTCAAAAATTTTAAAAAAAAAACCATAAAAAGATATATCATGCAAGTCTCCCTTTGATCCTTGTTGCTGATCTGCCTGGAGCCCATTTGCTTAGAAATCACTGTTAGTTTATCCTGGGTTTTTCCAGAGTTCTTTTTTGCATATAAAAGCAAATAGGACTGTAGATTGGGGGTTTTTTCCTCCTTTTTACAGTAACAGTAACATAGTTTACACTTCATTCTACACCATATTCTTTATTAGCCAGACTTTTGATATTAATACACAGAGAACTTCCTCATCTTTTTTTAATACACTATTTTAGAGCAGTTTTAGGTTTACAGAAAAATTGCACAGAAAGTACAAAGTTCCCATACATCCTCCATGTACCACTGCACAGTTTCTCTTATTATTAACATCTTGCATTCTTGTGGTGCTTTTGTTATAATTGATGAACCAATACTGATATATGATTATTAACTAAAGTCCACAGTTTCCATGAGAGTTTACTCTTTGTTGTAGAGTTTTGTGGGTTTTAACAAATGCATAATGTTATATATCTACCATTACAGTATCAGGCAGAGCTCATCTTTTTTTTTTTTTAACCAATATATATTATTCCATTATGTAGCTATACATTTATTTAACCAGTCTTACGCTGATGGACATTTAGGTTGTAATTTATTTGACCAATCTTCTATCGATGAAAATTTTGGTAATTTCCAGTTAAAAAACAAAACTTTACTTCCTTCTTTCCTTTGTAAACACAGTCTAGGGATTTTGTTTTTCCATTTTCTTCTCCATACCAATAACAAAAATTTTATGATTCCATTGGTTTCTATTTTTCTCTTAATTCTTTTTCTACCCATAGCATACTGTGGGGATTTTATACTAGTTTTTCTATAGATGATTATTACAGTGTGACTATTAGTTTTTGTGTGAATAAAGCTGCTAGAGTATTCATTCTGAAGTAAGAAAAATGAGTTTTCTCATACAGTAGATATCTGATGAATGTTTCCTCAGTAGCAAAAGAAAGTTCAACCATACATTCAGGGGTTGTGATGACAGTAATTTTCCTTCTTATATGTATTTGGAGAATAACTGATGGGGAAACATAACGTTATTTTTAAAGGCAGTACCCCTTATAACAAGTTCACCACAGGAAACAATAGAATGTAAATAAAAACTCCATTATAAAATTGGAGGGGGGGAATAAAATTCACAAATAGAAGTCACAGAAATGCTACTGTAGACTTTTTGGGGGAATGAAACTTTGGTAACTAATTTAAACATTTTAGAAGATGTGTTTGATCTCTAAAAGGAGAGTAGGCTTTAAAGACTATTCTTGCATCCCATTCTCTTTCCAACTTTGTTCTTTTTGTTTAATTTAAAGTCAGAATGATTACAAAAAATGAAATACCTTAATTCTCAAACAACCCAGTGATAATAATATTAATCCTGAAAGTTAGTATTCACTGAAGAGCCTGATATTTTAGACAAGGTATAATTTTGCTTTTATATTTTTACTGCATTTATATTGCATGGTTTTAAATATTGAATCATTCTTGTCTAAAGCTAAATTTTACTGGACTGTTTTCATTTAAGATGCAAAATATCAAAGTAGACTCTTGATAATAGAGAAGTGATGTTCTTGATTCATACTATTACAATTTACAATTAAAATAATTTAACATTTTTTGCCAGTATTTTCTAAAATTTTCATTCAATTTCAGAAGTACTTGCAATGAAGTCTAAATGTGTATTTGAAACAAGACCTAAAGAACTCTTTGGATATGTTAGGTAAATGGGAGCATTTTGGGTCAGTAAAGAAATCCTGTTTGTGATTGTATTGGGTAATGCACCATGGAAGCTTGTTATTCATATCGAAAGGAATCCATTGCCTCTTTAAAGATGTCTGCTGCTGAGACCCATAAAGACTGTTAAATAATCATGTAATAATGAATATAGTTCTCAATAATGTTGAACTTATTTTTTATTTGTTTAATGGTTTATTTTTAATTTATATTTTTCTTATTACAAATAATGTTATGACATGGTAATTACCAGAAAAATATATCTGGTTGCATCTCAGTGTTCGTTAAATGAAGAATATGAGAATGTTTATTGTGCTAACCTTTCCTGCGTATCCTGTTACAGCTAAATTCTCGGTTTTATGGATAATATAAAAGTCATAATAGAGATCCCTGATACCATGAGGTACAGAAGAAAGTATAGGGTTTCTAGACCGACAAACTTAGGTGCAATCTGGAATCTGCTACTTCTTAGTTGGGTGACCTGGGTCAAGCTATTTCATCTCTGTGAAACTCAGTTTCTTCATCTATAAGATGGGAGAAATCATTCCTATCTCGTTGGGTGTTGTGAGGATTGAAAGAAATAACATTTGCAAAGTTCCTGGCATACAAAGATCACTAACTGTTATCTTTACCTTTGACTCCTCTAGTTCTCCAGAATTTTCCCAGGATCTTATTCCAATAACAGCTTATCTTTTGGGAGGGAAGAAACTTAGATAAAAAAGAAATTCTCAAAACTCACCGTTTCCCGTTGTGTTTTTCAGCTCAATTCAACCTTCCAGAATTGGAACTACACTGTTTATGTGGTTAATATCAGGTAAATGACGGAGTGGATTATTTAAGAAATTTAGAAAGTTGTGTCTATTTCAGTTCTTCTCTCTCTCTGGCCGTACCTCCACACACATACAACTATACGTACATACACACATGGACCATATTCATAATCTTTCCAAAACAGCTCTATATGATGTCATTTCTCTGCACAGAAAGCCTCAGTGCTGTAGTAATGACTTCTAAAATATTTGATCATACATCCCTAGCATTTAAAAAAATTTTAGCATGTACTCCCAAAAGTGTATTTTTAAGTAAATTGTGTATATATTACTATCCTATATATATTATAATGTGTCAAAAAATTTAAAGGACTATTAAATATAAATAGGAGTTATGTTAGTTTCTTCTCATACCCCAGTGGATCATCTAGAGCACCCGTGGGTTGTGTGTACCGCAGCTTGGAGGCCACTTTTCTCAATACAAGACATTTGCAGTCTGATTGCAACCTAGCTTTTCAGAGTCCTTCTAAATTTAAACTCTTCTAAATTTAAGTCTTCCACTAAATCGCCAGCCAATAGTATCGTTCATATATCTTCATCTGTACATTGTTTTCGAGTTTTAAAATTAAAGTTTTTCAGTGTAGTTCATGAACCCTAAACTTGTATTCGATGAACCCAAGAGATATGACAACTCTTAACACAGAAAAAGGGATTCCATGGTCAAATAAGCTCGGGAATATATTATTTAAAAAAATGAAACAGATTTCTTTCTGTCAGGACTTCTCAGATGCTTTAATATACTAATATGCATTATGAATCTTCAAGAGAGAGCAAGAGCACAGAGTTGCCCTGTTTTATATGACCGTGGAGCCATTTTGTCCCAGGCTTGTGAAAGAACTAGAATCTCAGAACACATGTTTGGAAATGCTGGCTTAGAATGTCCATTCTGCCTCTCTCTTTCACTTCCCCGAGTTTTGATGTTGATGATGCAGTGCACGAGAATGATAATTAATATGTGGATTTGTGTTTTTTTAGTCTTCATCTGAGCACTGAAGAGGATAAGATTAAAGTCAAGAGAAGCATTGAGGATGATTCAAGGTAATAGTGACAAAGTCTCATAGAAAGTGTAACATTCTTTCTCTTGTCTGTGTTTTGAATATCTGGTAGGGAAATGAAAACAATGATACAGGACCGCAAAATTTATTGAAGTGCCACACTTAAGGTATTCCTTAGCACTAATGAACATTTGTTTGTGTGTGTAGTTAAAACTCTAATATAACAGAGTGGGTGGAAATGTACGTCTGATGAAAAATAATTCAGAAGTTAACATTTAAAATGTCTAATATTATTTTTAGTCTTTCAAGTTTATTTGTTATAACCCATTACCTCATTTGAAATTTCAGGGAGACCCTCAAAGTAAAAACAGATAATTTACAGTTTTCTTTTAAATAAAAGGCTTATATGCATCTAATAATATTGTTAATAAGTGCAGAATATCTTCACCCTTCAAAGCTGTCAGCTAATTCTCTGAGATCTCCATTTTTAATTTATATCAGGATCTTACTTAGGCAGGCAGGTAATTTAAAGTATATGTCTGCCATACATTACTGGTTGTATAAGGGCCAACTGTTCAAAGTGCTGTAAGGTTAAAAAAAAAAAAAAAATCCCTAAACTCCTAAATGGGATAAATTTAGTTGTGTTTGTGTAGTACATTGCATCTCCATAGAAGGAATAAAAAAAAATCAGTTGAAAAGTAAAAGTGCTTGTAAGTTTTGCTGAATTTCAATGAACTGAATTAATGTTAGGTATATATAAACATGATGATGGATTATGCTTCTTTTCTGGTGACTTTTTCTTGCTGTTAGAAGATAAAACTGAAATTTCATGTGATAGTTTACCAGGGTCTTTCTTTTTTTCCTGTTTCTATTCAACATTAGGAAAACAAATGTTTTTAAGGTTATATCAAAACTTGTCATTTTTGTATATAGTCAACAGACTGGATTGAGCTATCATATTAAATTGTGCTTATTTTCTGACATTGCTCCTTTTCTTTTTTGATCTGAAGAACAGAGTAATGTATGCCATTTATGTATTCTTGATGGTGATTGGATTTTTTCCCTGTCTAGCCAGATAATGTCTTCTCCAGCCTTACTGCTGGATCATATTTGGCCTTGAATAATGGTTCCAGCCGAGCACCTGTCACATTTTGTCTAGCAATTGGGGCAGCCCTATTCTGGGGTCTTGCTAAATGGTGAACCCTTTTCAGGAAGTCAGGCTTGCCCCTTTTAGTTTATTTACTGTGGTTCTACTACCTTGTAATATAAAAATCAGCCATTATTAGTATATGTCAGCACCGCAGAAGCTCTTGCCTGAAAGACATTTAAATTTATAGAACCTCAGTTTTCCTGCTCTGTCGAATCCAACGGGTAATTTCACAGAAAACTATAGGGAGAATGAACTAAGACCATGTATCTGGGAAAATGTGCACATTTGGTTTTTCTTTGATGTGAACTCTCAACACTTTTAATATTTATTCTTACAGCCTTTTCCTTTTTTTTTTTTTTCCTATTCTGTACTTTTGCACTCATTGATGAACCTTCAGAGTCTCTCATAGTTTTTCTCAAAACCCACAGTTCACTAGTTTTACACACACCTCATTTTTCTACACTTTTCATTTGGATTGTATCACTGAACACAGACCATAGCTTCAGATACTGCTATCATACTCTATCGCCCAGACAGGCAGGAAACCAAAGCCACAGAGGCTGGTTTGTTCAAATAAAGAGTGGTTGATGGTAACAGATGGAACTTGACTTTGTAGAACCATAAAATAGTTACAATTTTCAGGATGATAGAGGAGAAAACACACACACACACACACACACACACAGATAAAACCAGTGAAAATACATGGCTATGCTTAAATTGCTGAGTTTGGTTGTTCAATACTATCCACAATTTGTTACGCTGATCGTGTTCTCAATATGCAAGAGAAGCAAAAGGTGGCAGTCCCAATTGTAAATTCTCAGTAACTCGAGTGGCAAAGCTTATCTTCAAACAACAATGTAATCAAAGAATACTTTTTGGTAGGGCATTTAAAAAATTATTAAGATACCACAGTTCACCATGATAATCATGTCTGTGTTTGTCTCATCTTGAAACATGGGTTACATATGAAAAGCAAGCAGTAGATCATTTTAGAGATAAATAGCTTTTCAGAGTGAATTATAAGAAAATAGAGCACTTTGTCCTTGAGATAAACGTAGATATATAAGAGAACATAATAGAGCTGTTCTTTAATTTCGTCTAACTTTAAATAGTAAATATTTCACTTATTCTCTTTGTTTTTGTAGCACCACAAATATTTTAGCCCTCTCACTATTTCATTGTTACTGATACTCACAGACTTCTGCTAAGGAAAATACGCCAGTACCTCTCCATTGAGTATTCCGTAGCTATTTCAGAAACAGTGTTATTGCTTTGATTTTGGCATGTGTCTTGATAGTACCTTATCTTACATCATATTATTCATTTCCCCTCAGTATATGAAGAAGGTGAAAGTTTTGTTGCAAACCTAGAGCCTTGACATATAAGGAAATAAATCTTTCCTCTACCTGACAAAATAATGTCATTTAATTTTACCTCAGTGTGGAATAAATAGTTTTGATTTTTGCTATTGGTTATAGCTGTGATCACATTTGAACAGAAAATCATACTATTACAAATTATAGAGCCAAAATTTTGACAGAGCCTTTAGGATATATCCTTTTGCTTCCCATAGAGATATTTTCTTTTTAAAAATCCTTCAAAGTCATATATTCGATAACCTTCTTCAGTAATATGCTGACCAATCACAGAGTATATTCTGAGTACTTCACTTGTAACTTCTTACCTTACAAAGTACTTATAAATGCTTAAAGGAGATCGAAAATCATGTGTCACAATCCTAAAGAAATTGTGCCTCATTTGTAAACAAGAACACTCTTCACAAATAATTTCAAAAATGATCAGTAGTAATTTGAATTTTTTTAAAACAAAAAAAACTTTGTTTTTGCTTATAAAGAAACAATGTATAATTAACCGCAAGCAAGCATGACCTTTTTATAAATATATGCTATAAATATTACTTACAATGTTTCTGAAAAGAAATAGGGTGATAATGAACTTCACTCTTTCACCAGCTTTAGCCCTATCCACCTAATCTGTGCTTGTACATTTTCTTTGATGAATTTCAGTATCACTAGTCCCAGAAGAGTGTAGACAAGAAACTTAACTAGGCCACTCTTGAGATGTTTTTAAACAGTGTAGTGCAATCATTTAGGGGCGTGAAGTTTTTTTTTTTTTTTTTGGTAATGTAAATTGAAACCAATTGCCATTGAGATTGTTATAACGCATGACTACTCCATGTGTGTTAGAGTAACGCTCCAGCAGATAGATGGATAGAAATGGATATAGATATATCTTTTTATTCCTATTTTCCCTATTATTATTATACATTTTCATGCCAAAGTATGAATATGAAATACATTTATTTTCTCAGCTACTTCATAACTGAGTAAAAATTTATTATATTGGATCAGAAATTAAATTTCAGGGAAATTGTGCATTTAGGTTGATTTAAAATAGTTTTAAAATTTCAGGTATCATTAAAAGCCCTTTAATATCCATCACTACTCTTGCTATCTAATATTAATTTGCTCACATATATGAATTGAGCATTACACAGTGTATTTGAAGATTTTGTCACTCTTTCGCAGAGCCTTGTATGACAAGAAGATAAGACATAAAGAAAGCCTGTACTTGCTTGATTTTAAGTTCTGCTCTGTCTGAGTCTCTTAGTGACTCTTTATCACATTAGTGCTGTTTGATGTCCCAGTGAATTCTCTTATCTTTGTATCTCTAGCTCCTAGCCCATTGCCTGGTTCATAGTAGTTGTTTAGAAGAGTTTGACTTGTGTTGAATTATTAATTAAAATGACCATATTTAGTAATTATAACCTTATACGTGGAAATCCGGGTTCTCCAGAGTCAATAAAATGCCATTGTTTTGTTGTTTTTTCAACCTCAAATTTATGCTCCCTTTCTTTTCCAGGTAGACCCAGTTCTCCACCTTGAACTCTTAAGACCACCTAATAAATAAGAAATAAAGTTGAGAAAGTTCTGTAGCAAATAATGATAGTTTGTAGGCATCTGCTAAATCAATTTAACAGTATTCCCTTTTCTACTAGATAGATAAAAAGACATGGTGATTGTCTTGGATTTTTTCATGTGGCCAGACATGGAGAATCAACAAAGTTCCAGCATAAGCCTAGTATTGGAGGTTGGAGGGTGAAGGGTATGCACACCTTAGCTGGAAAAAAAATAACTAATGGAAACAGAATTCTACATGCAGTTTTTCAAAATGAAACATAATTTATGCAGCAACAGAGAAAGTCTGTGAGTGCCTTGGCATAGCTCTTCAGTCTCAACATGTAAAAGTGATCACTCTCACTGCCGTATCCAAGTGTTTTATTTTTCTCACCAAATAAAAACCAACCAGTCAGCAACACCAAAAACAATTCTGTCTGAAATATTTTTTTAGGTTGGTGATTTGGGCCCTTCTAGTTTACAATGCTACCAACAATGTCAGCTTAGAAGGAAAAACCATTCAGCAGAAGCTCTTAAGAAATAACGAGTCCCTGGGTGAGGGATTGAGGCTATATACAGTGAATGTGAGGCAACTGGGTAAGTGACTAATTTTATTATAATTTGTATTTTGTGTAATCATATTTTCAGGCTTAATTGAAACCACAAGAAGAAGAACAACAACAAAAAGTTATATCATGACATTTCTAGAGAGTTTTTTTTAAAAAAAAAAGGTGGGATGATTAAGGATAGCTTGTGAGTGTGACATTTGGAGCTGGTTCGCAGGTATCTTTTTGCCATTTCACCGCCAAACATCTGTGCAGAAGAGGCTTTTGGAACAGCTGGAAATTTTTCCATAAAATTTGCTCACAACTCAATGAAAACACTATCGATGCACTAATTTATAGGCTTTTCTTGTTTAAAAATGATCAGATTACATTTTGAATTTTTCGAGATTGTTTTCATTTTGTGTTGTGTTTTATAACTTTTGAATAAAATCTTATTAATTTTATCTACTAATCATTTACATGAAAATGAAAATGTACATTTACCTTGTATCTGCATAAATGTGTGTTTTTTTTATTTGATAGTTTTGTAAGATGTAATAATTTTTGTATCTGGAAAGTATTTAATATTTAATTTTCCTATTTCTAAATTTTCATAAATTCTGAACATCTAAAAACTAGTATATTTGTGTTACATTAAAAAAAAAAAACTTAATCACCAGCATTGTCATTTTGGTCTCATCTTGCCACCACTAACTTAAAAAGATAGATCAGTATATCTTGTATTATTTCTTATGTTCACGTAGATACATGTCCTGCCAGTGAGGACCCCAAAGGCTATGTATGGCCTGCCATCCAACCTTCTGAATACAGTCTACCCTGTAATGGAAAACCTGGTTTTTATGCTTCACGGACATGGTAATAATTTCATTGACTTTTGCCAAAAAAGCTCCATGTTATTTACCTTCACAAGACTGCATGCTGTCTTAATTTCCTGGGGCTGCCATAACAAAATACTAGAAAGTGGGTGACTTTAAAGAACTGAAATTTATTTTCTCACACTTCTGGAGGCTGAAAGTCCAAATCAGGGTCTCAACCATGTCGATTTCTTCTGGGAGCTTTGAGAGAGGAACTATCCCATGCTGCTCGCCTATTTTCTGGTAGTCCTGGTGTTTCTTAACGTTCCTTGACTTGAAGAGGGATCCTTATGTGGTGTCTTCTCCCTGTGTGTGACTGTTTCTGTGTCTGTCCTTCTCTTTTATAAAATGCCACTCTGGAGGGATTAGGATTAGGACACACCCAACCCTGGTATAACTTCATTGATTTAACTAATAAAATCTGCAAAGGAACTCTTTCCTCAAATAAGGTTACATTCAGTTCAGGGGTTATGACTTCAACATATTTTTCTGGGGGACACAATTCAATCCTTATCACATGTACTGCACAATAGTTCCCATGCATTGTATTGATTGGGGAAAAAGGCAGAAATCTCTCTGTGTATGCTTAAGTCATAGACTCCGTGGGGGATAAAGATGAGGTATACAGGTTACCAAGAAAGCCTGTGTTTTCTTTCCAGCAACATGCTGGTTTAGTCTTCTCCAAGGAAAGAGTCAGGAATTTGGAAACCAGACGGTATCTCCACAGCAAGGCAAATTGTATAGAGATGAACCAGCTCATAGCCTTGGTACTTGCACCTTTTAACCATTTGGAGCAGTTATTGTTGGAGGGGAAAGAGGCAGCAAAGAGGGAGTAGAGACAGGATCCAGTTGGGGCAGTCTTCTGATGGAGACTGGGTATAGATTTTCCCTAAGTGTTTAACAAAAAACTCAGAGCCAGGACTATTGCAGTAGATTCATCAAATAGCAAGTCAAATCTAGTTCTTCACCATCCCTCTACCCCTAATTAGAGTTTTCTTGGGGGAAATTCAGAAACTTCCCTAGAGTAAGTGCTTTGCACCTACTGGTGTGTTTGACACTTGGTAGGGAGGAAAGACTCATAAGCGACCCTACAGGAATCAACTTGACGGCAACAGGTTTGCTTTGGTTTTAGGGAGGAAAGAAGGGGTCTTTAGAGACTTACAGACATGGCTCTTCCTGGCTGTGAGGCTTAGAAAGTTCCTTAACCTGTCTAAATCTATTATCTCATCTATAAAATACGGATTATAATCTATTTTACAGAGTTAAAGTAATGATTAAAATCAGATTATACCTGGAAAGTTTGTAAAGCAGTGCTTGACCCGTGTTACTAGATATGCCTTTATTTAACCTCGGTAATCTCAGGTATCCTAGGGTAGGATACAGTATTTAGGATGCTAATATTTTGATTCCATGATGCATGCAACTGATTTTTTTTCTAATAAGAATTTTTAATACAAGTTTTATTTCAATGAATTACAATTTCATTTTCAAAGGAAACTTTCCCAGATATCAAGGTAAATTCTAAAACTTATAAACTAATTTTGTCAATTATAATGTCATTTGTGTCAAATATTTGAAATATCCTTTCTCATTTCATAGTCACCGCAATCTTACCAACGCATCTTTAGCCTACTGGGGAGTTCCTGATGTCTCCAATTGTTCAAGTAAGTGAGGAATTTTCCTTCATTTCTTGAAGACAAAATGAAATGACCTCATGATTCATGGTTTCCATCCTCTTCAAACGTGTTTTCCTCTTGTGTGACCTTATTTTAATCGGAAAACTTTGGCAGATGGTTATTTTACTTACTTAAGGTTGAAGACACTTTTTTCCCCTCATTATAATTTTCTGTTCTGTTCATTCTGAAGGGAGATTTAAAAACAGGATATTCTAGAGAAGATTAAAAATAATACATAAATTTATTTTTGTATCAGTGTTTCATAGTTTTTTATTATTTGCAAATGCACGCTTGTTCCGTGATGCTATGGGCATTTCTCTTGAAACGATGTATTAATATTGGCTCTTCTGATTTATTTACCTAGGTTGTTTAAAAGCATGATATGTATGTCACAAAGAGAGAAGTTAGCTCCTGTTTGCCACTTTAAAGAAATATGATTGCATGTGAAGATTATGATAAGGGAGTACACACAGGAAACCCACTTTCCTGCTTCAGCTATGAAGTGAAATATTGTGCTCTGTTGTAGATTCCTGGAAATCCTCAAAACACACAGATAAAGCTTTGTATGTTGTTCCTTCTGCTTTTTTAGATGACCTAAATAATGTCAATACGATTTTAAATTTAACTGGTGAAGGACAGAACTTAACCTCAGCCAACATTACCAGCATTGTAGAATACGTGAAAAGAATTGTGAATAATGAAGAAAACATTGATATAACACTTGGCTCAACTTTAATGACTATATTTTCTAATATCTTAACCAGTTCAGACAGTGATTTGCTTGAGTCTTCTTCTGAGTAAGTATTCTTTTTTTGGATATTGAAATTTATTGGAGAAATATCACTCATTAACCCATTGCTGTCGAGTTGATTCCAAATCATAGCAACTCTATTGGACAGAATAGAACTGCCCCAAAGGGTTTCCAAGGAAAGGCTGGTGGATTCAAACTGCTGACCTTTTGATTAACAGCACCACCAGGGATCCTGGAGAAATATATTATTATATAATGTCTCACATATCTGAATGCTTGATGCCCAAATTTCTTAAGTAAAGTATCTAGATATTTTCAAAGGTCATTCACCAAGAGAACATCATCAATCAAAGTCCTTTTCTTTTTTTTGAAAAATATAATATACAGAATGATTAAAATTGTCACCAGGCAAGACATATAAATAGCCCAAGAAAAGCATCATCAGTTTTTTTCATTTTTTTATTGGAAAAAATTCTGAAAGTTTGAAAAACCAGAGTAATTGAAAAGATGAACAAACTGTCATAAAGATTTATTTCTGATACTTCTTTTTGCCCACAAAGGAGACACTCAGCGAACATTCAATTCACATCTCCTATGCTATGAGTCAGAATCAACTCGACGGCAGCAGATTTGGTTTTTGGTATGCATAACTTGGTCACTATACGTCCACTGTCCTTATTAGCCATGCCACAGAACTGTCACAACTATGCAACTGTTGTACTTCTGAAATTAAAACTCCTAGGACAAGGTCCACAATGTGCCTATATTTACACAATTCAATTTGTATCCATTCTTTCATTTAATGTATTCATACCAATGTGTTTAATTTTTTCTATTTCATTCCTTTCAACCAAGTTATCTTGATGAAAAGTGTATAACTGTTAAAATGTGTTCTCCAATGTATCCTATCTACATAATAATAATTACAAACATTTTTAGTGTCTTGTAGTTCAAAAACACACTTTCACCACATTTCCTTTGATTCTTCCAACTAAATTAGGATGTAGGGAAGGTATTTTTCATATGAAGGAGAGACTAAGGTGAAAAATATACTATTTGTTCAGGATGAGTTAGTTGTTGATTTTCCTAAAATTTCTCTTGAAGATACATCCACCAAAATTATTCTGTGTTTCAATTGATACTGTTTTGGTCTCGGGTAATTTTGTGGCCATTCGTGTTAAGATCAGAAAATTTATAGATAATTTTTTTTATTTGTATTTTGCCCCACAGCAAACGATGTGTGTGCAGTGTCTAAACTGTTAAATTGCTTAACAATGGTGTTGTTATTGTCATTTCTTTAGAGCTTTGAAAACAATTGATGAATTGGCCTTCAAGATAGACCTAACTAGCACATCACGTGTGAATATTACAACTCGGAATTTGGCTCTTGGAGTATCATCCCTTTCCCCAGGAACAAATGCAGTTTCAAATTTTAGCATTGGTCTTCCAAGCAATAATGAATCATATTTCCAGGTAATGAGCCAGTGGTTTCTTTAATTAATTAATTAGACAAATAAAAACTTGTTGTTCACCTACCAGTTGCTCACTCAAGTAGGTCTTGGTCCAGGGGATGGCGGATAGGTCTGAATGTTGGGTCAGGTTAATGACAGCAGTTGTTGTTGTTAGGTGCCTTCGAGCTGGCATCAACTCATAGGATTTTATATATACAGAACAAAGCATTGCCCAGTCCTGCACCATCCTCACAATCATTGTTAATGTTTGAGCCAATATTGTAGCCACTGTCAGTCCATCTCATTGAGGGTCTCCCTCTTTTTCGCTGATCCTCTGCTTTACCAAGCATGATGACCTTTTCCAGGGATTAGTCCCGCCTGATTACATGGCCAAAGTAAGAGAGAGTCTCACCATTCTCACTTCTAAGGAGTATTCTGGCTATACTTCTTCTGAGACTGATTTGTTTATTCTTCTGGTAGTCCATGGTATATTCAGTATTCTTCAGCAACACCATAATTCGAATGTGTCAATTCTTCTTCAGTCTTCCTTTTTCATTGTCCAGCTTTTATATGCATGTGAGGTGATTTAAAGACCATGACTTGAGTCAGGTGCACCTTAGTCATCAAGGTGCCATCTTTGCTTTTTAAGATGTTAAAGGTCTTTTGCAGCAGATTTTCTTAATGCGATACATCGTTTGATTTCTTGACTGCTGCTTTCATGAGCATTGATTTTTTATCTAAGTAGAGCGAAAACCTTGACAACTTCAGTATCTTCACCATTTATCATGATGTTGTTAACTGACTCAGTTGGGATGATTTTTGGGTTTTTTATGGCTACTGTTATCATTTTTGTGAAGAAAACAAAACTGATATAAGTAACCATAGAGTATTGTGGAAACATAGAGGAGGCATACCATTATAACGTCGGTGATAGGGGTGGTCAGCTTACCTTACACAAGAGGTGAAACTGGAGCTAAGTATTAAAGCATGAGTAGGGATCCCCTGATTAGGAGGGGGGATGAGGATCAGTTCAAGAAGAAAGGTTTTATTGAGGTCCCAAAGTTGGGAAGAAGCATGGTGCATTCTCTTTGACAATGGTTCTCAAACTGAGATTTAGAATCCCCTGGAGGACTTGCCCTGGTGGTGCAGTGGTTAAGGCACTTGACTACTAACTGAAAGGTTGGTGGTTCAAAACCACCAGCAAGTCCATAGGAGAAAGATATGGCAGTCTGCTGCCATAGAGCAGCCTTGGAAAGTCTATGGGATCACTGTGAGTCGAAATCGACTCAATGGCAGTGGGTTTGGTTTTTTTGGTTTGGAGGACTTTCTAAAACAGATTGCTATATCTCACACTCCCAGAGTTTCTGATTCAGTAGGTCCCGATTGGGTCCCCAAAATATGCACTCTTAAAAAATCCCCAGGTATTGCTGACACTGCTGTTCAAAGGATTGCATCTTGAGAACCAGTGATGGGGAGGGGTGGAATGAGTAAGCTAGGAGAGCCTCTTTGACCTGTTAAAGAAACACTTCAGCAAATAATTTTCAAGTTCCTACTATGTGTCAGACAATGCTAGACACCAGGGCAAACAAAAAGAATGAAATGTCATCTGTGACCTGGGAGACCATATATATAGAGCATAACATTTTTTTAGCTGTGGAGCTAAATCAAATGAAAATATTAAAAATCTGGAATTAGGATACCAGGAAGACCTTTTTCCTCCTTTAGGCTAGAGACTCTTTTGGATAATTATGTTTCACATCTTAAGAGTGAAAACTCAGCCTCAGCCTCATTCCAAGCCCATTCACAGGAAAGCACTCTGGCCTGAGATCTGGATTCAGGAAAAAGGATGCCCAAAAGTGTTCATAAAACTTCAGCTGTTTCTTCCTTGCAGAGCAACTCATTCTCTGCAGTCAAACAAACTAAATTCCATTTTTTGTAGTTAATATCTATCTTTCAATAAGGGTTTTGAGAAAATCTTAAAATCTGATAAGGATAAATCTACTCCTTATACTTAAAAATGTTAACTGATTTGTAGATAACTAGTTGTTATTGTTGTTCGCTGCTGGGGAGCCAGCCCCCACTAGGGGTGACCTCACGCACAACAGAACAAAACTCTGCCCAGTCCTACACCATGCCACACCATCCCTGTGATGGACTGCAATGATCCATAGGGTTTTCATTGGCTGATTTTTGGAAGCAGATCATCAGGCCTTTCTTCCTAGTTCATCTTAGTCTGGAAGCTCCACTGAAACCTGTGCAGCATCATAGCAACACGCATACCATTACTGGTAGATGGGTGGTGGCTGTGCATGAGCTGCATTGGCCAGGAAACAAATCCAGGTCCTCCCTTATTGTAGATTTTTTGGTTTCAAAACCCAAACCAAACCTGTTGCCGTCAAGTAGATTCTGACTCATAAAATCAGTGTATTTTCTCATTTGCCACAAGTGCAAAACTTGAATCAGACCTACAGCTCAGCCTGTAGGGGAGTGACCAAGGAGCACAGAGTGACTACTTAGAGGTGAAGAGAGGCTGCCATCCTAGCCAGCTTGATACTAGCAGGTGCTCTTTCTCTTTACTCAGGCAGGTGTCGTAAAGTTATCATTGCTATTGAAATGTGATTACTCAACCAATATATTTGTGTGTGTGTCACAGATGGATTTTGAGAGTGGACAAGTGAATCCATTGGCTTCTGTAATTTTGCCACCAAATTTACTTGAGAATTTAAGTAAAGAAGATTCTGCATTGGTTAAAAGAGCGCAGTTTACTTTCTTTAATAAAACTGGACTTTTCCAGGTAAGTGTTCAATAAAGCATTATCTTTCCATTGCAAATGAAAGTCCTTTGCTCAAAGGTAAAAATATAAGGGGCAGATTCTTTTGAAATGTATCAGGAGGTATAAACAAACAAACAAAAAAAAAACCATTGCCCTCGAGACGATTCTGACTCATAGTGACCCTATAGGATTTTCAAAGAGTGGCTGGTGGATTCAAACTGCTGACCTTTTGGTTAGCAGCCAAGCTCTTAACCACTGCGCCACCAGAGCTCCAGGAGGTATAGAAAATTTAATTTACTGTACTTTTAAAAATGAAAATTTTTACTATAATTATTTAAATATGATGTTATAGATAATAATATGCTTATTAACAGGATGTGTTTATTCCAGTTTCTTTTTAGCAAATCAAATATTAGGCAAGACTTACATGAAACAGTTAGAAATTGAATTAGTGAAAAGTTATTTATTATTCCTTTTCCTAAATATTTTATGCTGTCTACCATTCAGGCTTTCAGAGTTAAAGAAATTGTAAACCAAAGGAAAGGATTTTTTTTTTTTTCTAATTTGGCAGGAAGCTCTGTTTACATAATAAGCAGCATTCTTGGCTTTAATCAGTTTTCCCATTAGTATTTCAAATGACCTTTTGCCTTCTCACATCCGCAGAGTAGGGTGGCATTGTGCTGAGCACATATTATCATTTTTATTGGCATCATTTCTAGATAGTAGAAAATCTGCTGCCAGCCAACAAGGGTGACCTCTGTTTGCCTTTGAAACCGTAACTCAATCTAGAGCAGTTTCACTGAGCCCCTTTTTAAAAATAAAAGCCACCTAGTAAATTGAAAATACTAGTGCATATCAAAAAATGCAACCTATGTAAGAGAAAATAGCAAATTTCAAGGCCAGTAGACTTGTTTCTAATAGATCTACCCTGTATGACATGTGTAGAGGAATGATGAAATATAGGTTACAGGTCAAAAATACCATGGAAGTATTTACAGTAATTAATTCCAAAATCTTAAAATTTATCAGCAATTATGTTTTAGGGGACAAGCCATATAAAAGTTTTGAGTGGATTGAAAGTGTAAAACATATCTTTGCCCTGAGGGATTTTTTAGCTATGAACACATAAAACCTTATTTGTTAAAATTCTTTTTATTTTTATTTGAAGCTTAAAACAATGCTACCTTTAAGAAATTATAAAAAATGTAGTAGGTGTCACAAAATGTAAATGTTACAAAGAGGGGAGCCAATTCAAAGAAGAGTTTGAGCCCTGCAGGCTGGGAAGGGTTTGAGACAACTCTTAAGAGTTGTAAGAATCTGTTACTGTTTAATTGTGAGCCTTATCTTATCCATGACATTTTTTTCTTCTCCTTTGGTATCTGCTCATCAGAGTTCTTAGGAAGCATAGATTTGGTTTTTAAAGTAAGAAAAAGTTAAATTTATGGCAGAATGAAAAATTTTTAAGAGTCCTATGGTACTCCCTATATAGTACGTAAGATATGAGTGTTTTTTTAATTGTGGTAAATCTATATGTAACAAACCATTTACCATTTCAACGTTTCTTACATGTGCAGTTCAGTCACATTAATCTCATTCATCGTTTGTTCAACTGTCCCCACCACGCTATTCATTTCCAGATTTTTTCATCACCCTTAGCAGAAGCTCTGTGTTCCCTAATCAATGAGACCGCCTTTCTCCTTCCCTCTTACTCATCTCTGGTAACTACTGATACACTAGGTCTCTATACACTTGCCTATTCTGGATATTTCATGTTGGTGGGATCATACAATATTTGTCCTTTTGTGACTAACTTCTTTCACTCAGTATAATGTTTTCAGGGTTCATCCATGTTGTAGCATGTATCAGGACTTCATTTCACTTTATGGCTGAGTAATATTCCACTGTATGTATGTCCATTGCAGAACTATTCACGGTAGCCAAAAAATGGAAACAGCCTATATGTCCATCAGCAGATGACCAGATAAACAAAATATGGGTCTTTTTAAAATAAAAGTCTATTTTTAAAGAATTAATTTATAAACTGTGATAGAGAGAGAAGTTCATGAGGCTTGAAAAGAAATACAGAGGGAAGAAAGAAGTAGAGATGAACTAGCTGGAGAGACACCTTTTTGGTCTAAATCATTTTGTAGCCCAGACTCCCTAATTTGATTTCCTGACAGCCTTATCTCTGAAATGGGATCTGCAGATGCTGGCAAAGATACAACCAGAGCAAGAAAGTAGTAGTTCTGGACAGGACTTGGACGCAGTAAATTACATTTACGTATAGTCAACATGTCAGGCTATTGGCATGAATAGAAAGATAAATTGCTTTGTATTTTTCACACCATATTTCCTTCATACTTTTCTAAAGGAAAACAACTTCAACTACTTTCTTGTGTAGGGAGAAGACCTAATTGTTTCACAGCTTTTTATGAGTTTATATTTTACAGGTTTTCATTGTTTCAGACATTAACTGGCTAACATCAGTCACAGCAGTCAAGAGTGAAGTTTTATGAACATTGCTTTACAATATTGGCTCGTAATGTTCCCTCAATGTATTTATTGTAATAAGGGAAATAGCAAATCGCCTTCAGGAAAGTCAGTAATTTGATCTTATAAACAGGATGCTCTGTAATTGAAGATCTTAAGTGTAAAAATTGCTGACAATTTGCTTATTTCGGAGCACCAAAATGAAAGTGTGTACTTCTGACAAATACATGTAATTTTTTTTTCTTTAAAAGGATGTAGGAACCCAAAGAGACAACTTAGTGAGTTATGTGATGGCATGCAGTATTGGAAACATCACTATCCAGGATCTGAAGGATCCGGTTCGAATTATAATCAAACATACAAGAACTCAGGTAAGACACTGCTACACAGCAGTTGAATGGAAGGCAGACTGTTTCAGAGAACTATGAGGGTTTTTTTCCTACATGGTAAAAACTAATTGTGCTTTTCTTTGGGGGCAATTTTTCAGAAAGGGAAGGAACAGCTAGTCAAGTAGTGCTCTAACATTACAGTAAATGTGGCAGCTGCAGGGGAGTTTAAGTCTTACCTAGGTGTAGATAGGAGAACCTGCGTGGTGCTAATGGTCAGTGTGCTTGGCAGCTAACCAAAAGGTTGGAGGTTCAAGTCTACCTAGAGGTGCCTCAGAAGAAAGTCCCGGTGACCTGCTTCTGAAAAATCAGCCATCGAAAACCTTATGGAGCACAGTTCTACTTTGACACATATGGGGTCACCATGAAATAGAGTTAACTTGAGGGAAGCTGTTATTTTTTTGTTTGTTCATTTGCTTGTTTTAGGACTAGATAAACAGAAGGAGAATGGGAGTGAAGAAAAAGGCAGTCATAAATTTCTTCAAATAAATTAGATGCAGATGCAATTGCACAATGCTGTCATAAAGATTCTGGTGGTTTCTTTGTATTTTTAACATTAAAGAGAACCACAACTGGGAAAGCAAAGGGGAAACGGGAGGGGTGACTTAATTTGAGCCATTAGCTGTTGTTTAAAATCTTTGCAAATGTTGCTTTTCTTGTTGCTTCATTACCCTTGCTGTCATCTGATTATTTGATAAAATTAAATGGGGGTTCACATTGTCCAAGATGGCCCAAGCCCAGGGTTTTTCTCATTTGTAGTGGGCCCTGGTCATGATTCTGCCATTTATTAGACAAGCCAGAAGGCAGGCAGGAAGTGAGCAGTTTGAGAACAGTGTGACTTGCTGATAAGGGCTGAGGCTTGGAAGTTAAGTCATCTAAGAACTAGCCCTGCCTTGTCATTGACCCTCGGAGACCTCCTTGTCCTACCCTTTGGCCTCCCTTATTTCAGCTTCTTCATCTGTACAGGAGAATTTTGAAGATGAAGTGAAATTATAGCATAAAGTGCTCTGATAAATGCTAAGAATGACAGTAGAATCAGCATTTTAATCCATTGCTGTGATTCCAACTCATGGCAATCCCACATATTTCAGAGTAGAATTGCACTCCATATGGTACAATGGCTATAATCTTATGGAAGCAGATCACCAGGTCTTTCTTCCATGGCACCACTGGATGGATTCAAATCACCAACCTTTCAATTAGTAGTCGAGTGCATGTTGTTTGCGCCACCCACCAATGATGGGACATACATAGTACCTTGCAGATAGATGGCTAATATGATTCCTCATGAGGTTAGAATTGATTTTCACTTGAAGTCTCTCTGATAGAGGACATCCGCCTAGAAGGCCTACGATTTTTGGTGGTATGGGTATGGCTAATGCTGATGTATTTCTGTGTGAAAACCTTAGCATTTTTGCTCTTTTCCAATAATCAAATCATATGATTTTAAAATTATTTTAAACACAATTTCCCATGTTTATTCTTATGTTAATATAGACAGTGCATCATCCCATCTGTGCCTTCTGGGATCTGAACAAAAACAGTAAGTTTTGAAATACAGATTGTCTTAATATAGAGAACAGAGTTTTAAACATTGCTAGACACCCCCGTTTGTTTCTTTTCCCCCACCCCAAACCAGAGGAAGTCACAATCTAAATGCAATGGCAGTGGAGCTGCAAAATGTAATTCAGGTAGCTTGGAAAGTCAGTTCTAATTTCTATAACTTTTTATGCATTCTAAGAAGAAATAGGCAAAATTGACTTTTTTTTCCTTTGATCAAACAACCTCTTTGATTTCAGTTATTTGTAAAATACGGTATACATTTTTATTGCCACTTTTAGATGACCTTAGATATATACTTGATCTCATTCTTCTGATACACTTCTGGGGAGGTTATTTGATGTGCACTAGGCAAAAAATTTGAAATCTAGCTTCCAGACTTCAAATTATTCGGGGGCGGGGATGGGGGGAAGAGCATGCTAAAGGAATGTAAATATAGGATGGTTAGGATTGGAAATATTATTTGAAAGAAATGAACTGCCACCAAAATGAATTTGACAATCAAGAGTGGAAGGCAGAATTAAACAATTCACTAGGCTTGAGGTGTGGAAATCTCTTTGAGGGGAAGGACAGTGATAAAACCTCCCACCTCTGCCCTTAAGGGTCACCTTCCCTCAGGGTTCATCTGTTGGGATTATTGTGGCCAAATTCATACTGGCACTAGTGCAGCCTGTTTTCCTGGTGAAAATTTAGTCTGAAAGTGGGCAAAAACTCTCTTTTTTGACATTTTGTATTGCAGTTAGACAGTTTCATTGTTGTTATTGCTTTGGGTTTTAGTTGCACAGTCCTGAGAAAATCCTGACTTACTCGGATACATAGCTTAAAATGTTGTCACCTCATAGCCTTAACATATTCTTCAAATAAATAGAGCCAATATTTGACAATATATGAGTTGTTCACATTCTGTATCATACTGTTAATATCAGATGAGATGTGTTAAAGCCATTTCAGAGTAGGCTATCATCATGCAGGTTTGCTGTGTACATCATAGCATACTCCAAGGAAGCATACCTTATTTGTTTTGCTGTCTTCACAAAAGGTAGACCGACCCTAGAAACTAATGGGTTGATCTCTAGAGAGTTCAGTTAGTATGTGACATGTTTGAGAATCAGTTTTTTTTTTTAATGGAAGTTTACTTTAAAATATATTAAAAAGTAAAATAAAACTTTTGCAGAACACAGTTTTAAACCAGTGACTAGATAATCTCTAACTGCCCACCTAGCACTAACCTTCTGTGGGTCCATGAATCTAAATTATTCTGAGCATTTGGTAGCTTAAAAAATAATGTTCAGTTTTAAAGATAATTTCTGTAAGGCAGAAGAGACTGAGGCATATGGTCCCAAGGAGGGCTTCATACATCATAGAGAAGGAACTGGCCTGCTGTTATTTTCACGCTGTCGACTTCCTCCTGCAAAAGGTTTTGGAGGATGGAACACTTCCGGATGTGTTGCATACAGAGGTTCAGATGAGAGCGAGACAGTTTGCCTGTGTAACCACCTCACACACTTTGGAGTCTTGATGGTAAGAGGAATTTCTAAACGTCTAAAATTACACAGTTTTGGAAGGTATACTTCATTTTGTGAATCAGCCTTTTTAGATTATGAGTTATATGGACATTATTTCCGCACAATTTTCGTCTCTACCCTGAATCTTGATTCTTAGTGAGGAAGATAATTAGCAGATATATATGTGTATATATATGTTACTGTTTTCAAATTTATTTATTTATTTATTTTTATTGTGCTTTGGTGAACGTTTACAGCTCGAGTTAGTTTCTCATACAAACATTGATACACACATTGTTATGTGACCCTAGTTGCTATCCCTATACTGTGACAGCACGTTCTTACTTTCCACCCCGGATTTCCTGTGTCCATTGAACCAGCTCCTGACCCTCTCTGCCTTCTCATCTCACCTCCAGACGGAAGCTGCCCATTTAGTCTCATGTATCTACTTGAGCTAAGAAGCACACTCTTCACAAGTATCATGTTATGTTTTATAGTCCAGTCTATTCTTTGTCTGAATAGTTGGCTTCGGGAAATGGTTTTAGTTATGCGTTAACAGAGAGTCTGGGGGCCACAGAAATTATATATTAAAAAAAAAAATTGAAACTAACTATAGAAAAGAACCATACCTTTTTTTTTTTTCCTAGCATTTACATTGATGATAAATAATCCCAGAAAAAAGAAAATCACTGTAAGACTTTTGAATTAAGGGAGAAATGGAGAAAGATGGGGAGAGGGGAAGGGGAAGAAGCAGAGGAGGAGAGAAGGAAAAGGAGAGGTTGAGGCAGAGTGAGAGGGAGAGAGAGAGCCAGAGAGAGAGAAAGCAGAGGAATACGTTGAAATGTTGAGTTTTACTAACATGAAAGAAAACTGAAAACTCTGATCAAAAATTTTCTTTCTTATCACTAAAAGTATTTTTGAACGTGACTTTGTCCCAGGTACCGTGCTAAGTGGTGCAGTTATGACTTCAACTGTAACCCCCTGATGGAGATTGCTGTCTGCTGGGGCAGACTAATGAATAGAGTTAGAATGCAGTCTTCATTCCTGTAAGAGAGATGAGGAGTGTGGAGTTTCTCACACTGTTAGGCCTTCTTCTTTCGTTCCTTCCTTCCTTCCCCCCTCCCTCCCTCCACCCCTTCCCACCCTGTTTTTACTTCATTAGCCAGCTTGTCGGTTTTAGACAAAATGAATTTAAAAATTAGATCATATCAATGTGATTCTTCATTCTACAAAATTCTCAAGACCCACCCACATCTAATGACTTGCTTGAATTCAATAATAGATACATACCAAAAAAAGCAAAAGACCAAACCAGTTGCAGTTGAGTTGATTCCTATAGACGTATACTTTTACTTTATGTCTGATACACTCCTGTTTTTGCAAACACTTTCCTGGTGCCCAGTACACCTTCAGGGATTCTGATATACCCGTTGTTTCTTTCTATTTCCCATAAAGGGACCAAACCATATTTGTTTTTTAATAGAAGTTGGGAGTAATGTGTGCTGAGGCAATAATACTTTTTGAATTAGAATCACAGACATCAGGTTGTGTTTATCCCCTCCCTTAAATCTTATATGCTTCCTCCTGTGGGGACTGGGAGGAAGCAGTAAGGAACTGTGGGATGTAGTATTTGGCTCATGAATCTACCTGGCCTATGTTAATGTCCATTGTCATATGGCAGCTCTGCAAGTTGTAATTTTCCTGACAATCCAATACATAAATGCTCTGAGGGATAAGAACAAGTCATTCGAAAGATGACAAATCATAGAAAATAGCTTTTTAACTTTCTCAAAATAGCAATATTTCTTTCTTTACTGCCAGAGTATGAAGATGAACAATTAAATGACAACGTGTTTTCCCCAACGAAGTAAAACGAAACAAAACTCAGTTTTCTTCCAGGTTTTCTTTCTTACAAAAAATTACAACAGGCATTCTTTCAGACAACACCTGTTTTGCATGATTTAGGTCGATGAGCTTCACCTTAATTTACTTAAAATATTTCAAGTGTGTGTTTGTGTGTGTGCAAGCATGATTGCATGTATAGTAAGTCTAATATTAGTTAAGTAGATAACAGAGTAACAGATAACAGTAACAAAATTCACTACTCAGAGGTGATTTATATGCAACCAAAGTTTGGCTTCCCATAACTTTAGTCATTTTCTTTATATATCGTTTAAATTTTTTTATGAAGTTTGCCATTATTTTTTTCTTTGCAGTCATCTGATTAAACAGTTAGTTTTACGTGTGTATGGAGAGATGCATTTTTAGTGATAGTCTTCCATTTTTTATAACTGCTGGAAGAAAAACTTCCCGGAATTTATCTTTTCTGGCAATGTGCTGCTGGTATCCTTTCCGCTTTTCCAGACCACCAACATTTTTAAGAGTCTTTCTTGATTTACAAACCCTTTATTCACTTGTAAGCTTTTCGCACAGTATACCTCGTCTCGTGACACATTTACCACGTGAGAAGTTAATAAATATGTACCCATGCCCATAATTATATTGTTTAATACAGAGATGTATGAAGAATTTAATGTCCTCTGCTATGTTTCTTTGTGGTAAAACTAATTTTCATATTTTTAGCGTTAGTTCATTTTCATGTTGGCCAGTTCAGAGGAATAAATATTTTCACATTCTTCATTCTTTGAAAGTATAAAACGTGAGAATTCTTTGTAATTGTGTGTCAGGATTGTTTTGTGTAGTTTATATTTTAAACTGTGACTTTAATTGTGGCTTGCAAGTCAACAGCCTTACCTAGATAGGAGCCGTAGGTTTTTCAAAAGGAAGTGACAAGTCACTTGATGATCCTTCAAGACTGTGATTCTGTGTCTCTGGTCTAATGCAATCCTGGAGTAACCAGAATGTTGGATGTCACCTATCTGTGAGTCAGGCACTGACCTAAACCCCATTCCATATGCCATGGAATGGCATGCTTCATGCCCTCCCAGTATTCTGAGGGATCTCTGGGAGAGGAGGATCGGGGAAGTCCCCTGAGATCTGATTCCCTGAGTCTGCTGAACTCAGTCACTGTATGCATTATTTTGATGTCTCAAGGATACCATAGTTGTTCCTTACTACCTCAGCCAAACCTGGAACTGAGTCCTAGTTCTTCTTTTCATACATGTATACACAAATACAAACACGTTTACTCAAGACCTTTGTGTGAGTAGCAGATTTTATTGACATTTTGGTGTAAATTAAATTAAAACGTACAATGGGAAAACATTATAAAATGCAATAAAGATTTTTTTCATAGTTTAATGCCTAAAATTAAACTGGCTGATCCTTCTGAAATATGTCTCTTCTCCAAGACAGTTCCATTTTCGAACATCTGCATAGTTGAGAGGTTGGTCTTAGCTCAGAATTTATCCCTGTCCCAACCCCCCATTCCTGAAGCCTGAATTACAGGAAAATGCCCTTGGGGCCCATTCATCAGAGAAGACCTGAGTGAACATAGAAATCCTGGATCAGTGCAAACTGCAGTCATGCTTGTTTATTTCTTTGAATGTCCAAGGGATGATTGTTAGAAAACACACACACACACACACACACACACACACACACACACGTGTTCACATACACCTTTCCCCAAAAGCATTATTTACACTTAGAGACAATGTTGTAGGGAGCAATAAGAAAAAAAAAGATTTTACTAACAACCCCAAACTTGGCAAACCTGTCTCAGCATGGTGAAATTAATGCTGCATATTAATAATGCTGAACAGTGTTTACTTCTTTTTCCTCCTCAACAACTCCTAGCACATTAAATTGCAGCCTTGAAGGACTACAGAGATCAAAAATCTATGACCCAAAAACTCTTAATAGATTCTCATTTATGTAAAAAAATGAAGACTGCCCCACCCCATACATACCAAGCTTTGAAATGGCCATGGGTAAGAGCCTCAACACCACCCTTAGTGCTAGACAACCCCAGCACCAGAGCCGTCCTTTGGCTGTCTTCTAGTTGAGACCCTCCATAAGGACAAGGAATCCCTGGACCCCAGGACTTGGACACGTGGGCTTCAGTGGCCACTGTTTGTACTCTTGCTTCTAACTCTGCAAGTATTAGGGATGACTGTGTTCATTTATTATTCAAGGCAACTACTTCTCTAATTTCTGTAGCTGTATTGGGTGGTTTTCTTCTTCAGGTTATAGTGGTGTGGAAAGAGCTTTGGTAACCAGGTAATAATTTTTTAAAAATTACAACTCTTAATAATGCTACATTTTTCTTCATGTGGTGACCCACAAGAGTACAATAAGTGTAAATTTCAATATTGATTTACGCTGTTGTTTTTAACCCTAAATATTGACCTACTCTAAGATTAGCAATAAACTTTCTAGTAAAATCAAACACCATTCTTATTCAAAGAGAGATCCTCACAGCTGCTTCTTATGTTTTGTGTAGGACCTTCAAGGAACTGCCTCACAGATGGATGCAAGAAATACTAAAGTCCTCACCTTCATTACCTATATTGGATGTGGAATATCTGCTATTTTTTCAGCAGCAACTCTCCTGACATATGTTGCTTTTGAGTAAGTATTTTTATATCTGTGAAACTTGGTGCTAACTCTTCCAAAATGTGAATAAGAAAATTGCCTGTTTTTAAAAGTAGGTAGACACTTAACGAATAACGTAGAGTGGTTCAGTTTTAAGTTCAGGTTTCTCATAAGATGTATCCTGCAATATGAAATTTTCAGCAATAGAGTCCTAATTTATAAATAAGTATTTCTATTTTGAAGTACATTTAAACTTGTTAGAAGTTAATGTTAATATTTAAGTAAATAAGAATTGTACAAAATGCTTTTTTACATTGTAAAAGGTGAAAATCTTTGCTTCACAAATCTTATATAATTAGCCCTCAAACAGGAAATAAAAAGATGGATCCTTAACTGATTAAAAATCAGGAAACTCCCAAGCATTTTAGAAAATTTTTTAAACAAAAATGTCATTTTTATAATTCTAGAATTTTTCCTGGAATGCAAAAAATCAATCTGTTAAAGCCAATTGGTAACTTAATAAACAATTAGAATTAGTTTTGAAATAAAATGAATATTTTAAAAAAGTCTTTATACCTTGCCAGATACTCATAAATATCTCTGGCCTTTATCCTAGTGGCATCATGCCATAAAGATGGTGCTACCTAACCTGTTGCAGAGTTGCACAGGATATGAACTCACTGCCTCAGCTTTAAGGATTTATTTATAATATTGTTGTTGCTAGCTGCTGTCAAGTCATCTCTGATGCATGACAATCTTATGTATAACAGAACAAGACCTGCGTGGTCCTGTGTTATCCTCACAATCGCCAGCACGTTTGAGTCTATCAGTGTGGCTATTGTGTCAGTCCATCTCACTGAGGGTCTTCCTTGCCCTCATTTGTCCTCTGCTTCACCAAACATGTTGTCCTCTGTAGCGATTGATCCTTCCTGATGATGTGCCCAAAGCAAGCAAGTTGGACAGTGTTCTGTTGTGATTCATAAGGTTTTCATTGGCTAATCTTTGGGAGAGTAGACCGTCAGGCCTTTCTTCCTAGTCTATTTTAGTCTGGAAGCTCCGCAGAAACTTGGCTACCATGGTGACTCTACTGGTATTTGAAATACTGGTGACATAGCTTTCAACAACACAGCAACATGCAAGCCTCCACAGTACAACAAGCTGACAGATGGGTGATGAATTTACAGTATTAGTACTCCTATATTTTTCTTTTTCTCCTCTTTTAAGAAAATTGCGAAGGGATTATCCTTCCAAAATCTTGATGAACCTGAGCACAGCACTGCTGTTCCTGAATCTCATCTTCCTCTTGGATGGCTGGATCACCTCGTTCGATGTGGATGGGCTTTGCACTGCTGTGGCAGCCTTGTTGCATTTTTTCCTTCTAGCAACATTTACCTGGATGGGGCTGGAAGCAATTCACATGTACATTGCCCTGGTTAAAGTATTTAACACTTACATTCGCCGGTATATACTAAAATTCTGCATCATTGGCTGGGGTAAGCCTCCTGAAAACTTCTTTTTTTTCCCCTGTTATGAAAATTGCAAGGGAAAATCCTTATTTTTAAAGAATATCTAGGAGAAACTCTACAATTGCAGATGATGTGGATGAGAGAAATATCTCCTAAGGAAGGAGCACCCTCACAACTGTATTTTTAAAAAGTGCTCACCAGGGCTCACTAAGTTTGGCAGTAAAGGAAAAAAACCCTTGCTCCTGAGTCACTGCAAACTTATTTCCTGTGTCCCAGAGCCAGCCCACCCCAGTCTGAAGAAGCAGCTGGCAGACAGTGGTGCATTTCCATTCTGCTTCAAAATACAAAGGGCCGCTCAGACTCTTGGTGATACTTAAACCCTGAGACAAAAGCCTATGTTTTGGAAACCAGAGAAGGAACATTATTTTTATGTGCACAACCAGAATGTTGACAGAATTCTTGCCTTGAACTTTTTAACGTTGAGTCCTCAGCCAGATGTGTATGGCTGTATTAGCCTGTTTGGAATCTCCTGACTGGGCTCCTTTCTTTATCTGGGTTTCATATTGGGCCAGGAATTCTGGAGCTTTCTCACAAATGTCTTTTTCAGATGGCTGTATAAGAGCGTGAGTAACTGGCAAGCAGACATTTCCAAGGCATTCAACACCACCTTAGAAGGTCATAGAAGTGTTTTTTAAAGACTTACCGTGGTATCTCATTTCCTTGCTGAAATGTACCTGGAAGTACTTTATATACTGTCTTGAGAGAAAAGATAAGACTACAGAGTTTATACTCCATTGTTTTCCCCCCACTTTTTCTAAAGATTTTTCATTATATAGAAAGAGGCAAAGAAGCTGCCTTATTTTGCTTACTTTAGTTGCCTGAACTCTGGCAATCTGACAGGACGTATTGAATGAAGCCACATTCCCTACATCTGGATTCTACTTAAATCCGATTCTGGCTTTTCTATTGGGTACCAGTAAGCAAATAGAATAACTAAATATCTGTCATTTAAGAGCTTTGGGTTTTGTTTGTTTGTTTTTAATTGTTGCTGATTAGAATTGAATATTCCACACCAAGGAAGGGGATTTTGTTTTCGTTGTTTTTAACCAAGTTGTGCTTTCTAAGAAACATGTAACTCTGTGATACGGAGTGTTTTCTTTCATATTTCCCCTTGCCCTTATCAGTCTTATAAAGCTGCTCCAGCGGCTTCAGCAGAGTTGTTTACTTCATCGTTTCTTCAAAACAGGTTTGCCTGCCTTAGTGGTGTCAGTTGTCCTCGCGAGCAGAAACCAAAATGAAGTCTACGGAAAAGAAAGTTATGGAAAGGAACAAGGTGATGAATTGTAAGTAATAAAAGCTCACAAAAAATGTTTTAGTGATGGGTACGTGGCCTGTGTTTCCTAACATTTGGTATAAGTTTCCATGGCAGCAGTGACTCTCTCATTTAAAACAGTTGTAGTTTGTTTGCATGACTTTCCCAAGTCTCAGCTACACCACAGATTAATTCAAATGAATGCCCTGAAATGCTTGAGCTGCTTTTCCTTATTAACATTGTACTATGCCATCTGGGCAAATTCAGAAGAAGTCTAAGATTTATCTTCCAGCCTCGGAAGACCCATTCTATTTAGGGATTTTCCATAATATTTTTACCTTCTCCAACCCACACACATCTTCAGGAGAGTTCAGTTCCCGACAGTGAGTGAGTCAATGCCAATATGAGTGCTCTGTAGAAGCTCAGAGAATGTAGAAATCAGTGAGTTCCTGAATAATTTGTAAAAGTTTCCATCAGACTATGACACCATTGAAGTTAAAGTTCTATATTCATTTTTGTCAGTCCCTCATATTTTATCTAATGCATAATAGGTGCTCAATAAATTTTTGATGATTGATTCAATTACTGAATGAATAAAGAGTTTATCCTGAGACAAGATCAGTGGTGCTGCGTTCTTATGCACATTTCATGGATTGATAAAACCTTTTTTTATCCGATCTGTGTCCCATTCCTTCATGGCCTTCCCTTCTTTTATATTTCTAATGTAGCACTCAAAAGACACCACAAGACCTGGGGGAAGCAAGGGAGACTGATTAGGGATTCCAGGAAACTTCCATGTATAAAGAAAGGTTAGCTCCAGGGACAAGCAGTATCATTTTGGAAACCTTCATCATAAGATATTTTAAAAGTAGAAGTTAATACATTCTGAACAAGGGGATTTAAAAGTTATGTTAGTCAGTGATTACAGGACATCACAGCACTATATATTAAATTACTGTGTCATCAACAACTCTCATTTTTGAACATTTATTATGTGCCAGGAATCATGTTAGGTCCTAGGATCCAAGATGTTCAAGACACAGCTTTTTCCTTTGTGGAAGTCATGTTCCACTGTGGAAGGTATTACCCAAAATGATGACCATTTACAGTGGAATTTTAAACAACAATTTAGTTGCCTTAAATAATTCATCTAATTTTTGAGACACCTAAGAGCTTCCATAGCATTAATTAGGAACTGGGGGATCTGCAAATTGCAGTATGTGTCAACCTTACTCACAGCACACTTTACACATAGTACAGTTTTAAAATTGCTTTCATCTATTACCTGATCTCCATATCATTCCGAATGTCAACTACATCCTTTTTCATCTCAAAAGGACACTATGATCAATGAAAATTTTTAATTGTATATGAAAAGTTTCAGTGTAAGAATAGCACAGTTCTGTATTAAAGTCTTTCCTCAACTAAACCAACTATGTTAAGAAGAGTTATTTTGTCTCTAGTAATGGAACCCACTAGTATGTATTGCTTAAGTAAGTAGGAATTTACTTTTCTAACATGATAAATACATGGAAGTAGGCAACTAGTGACATAGATTTTGTAGCTGGAAATGTCAGGGCCAGTAGCTCTGCAGCTCTCTTGGTCTTTTTTCGTGGACATAAAATCACTGCTGCAACTCTGGAGCTTGCTTTCATGTTTGAAGCAGGGAAGGGAATAAGGGCCTTGCCAGCCAAGTCCATCAAAAGTACCCATTGCCCTCCAGTTGATTCTGACTCATAGCAATGCCATAGGACAGAGTAGAACTGCCCCCTAGGATTTCAAGGGAATCTTTATGGAAGCAGACTGCCATATCTTTCTCCCACGGAGCCTCTGGTGGGTTTGAACTGCCAGCCTTTCTGTTAGCAGCCAGGCACTTAACCACTGAGCCACCAGGGCTCCTTCCATCAAAAATAGCTCTCCCAAAAATCCTTTAGCAGACTTTTTCCATATTATTTTCTAGAACAATGTCCCATGGTCACTTGTAAATTCAAAGGAGGCTGAGAAAATGAGCACTTAGTTTTCCCATTGTTTAGAATACAGATACACAAGAGAAAAGAGGGTTATTAATGGCTTGGAATGAACCAGTTAACATTTACACCGAGTTGGAATTAAAGAAGTCACCTAGTTTTCCTTTCAACTGTTGACTTAAATGACTAGTTATTAAGATGAAGGTCATCCAAAAGAAAGAAAGAAAAAGAAAAGAAACGTAAAAATCGATTGGAAACGAACCTAAGACCCAAGGAAGCAAATTAACTTCTAAAGGCATTTTAGAGAGCCCTAGTCGTGAAATCTGCAATAGTATAAACTAAGCCAGGAAAAGTCTAGGCTAAATGGAACATGGTAATAAATCTTTTTCTTTCTTGTTTCTTCTTCTGTTTTCAGCTGTTGGATTCAGGATCCGGTCATATTTTATGTGACCTGTGCTGGATATTTTGGAGTCATGTTTTTCCTGAATGTTGCCATGTTCATTGTAGTCATGGTGCAGATCTGTGGGAGGAATGGCAAGAGAAGCAACCGGACCCTGAGAGAAGAGGTTTTGAGGAACCTGCGCAGTGTGGTTAGCCTGACATTCCTGCTGGGCATGACATGGGGTTTTGCTTTCTTTGCCTGGGGACCATTAAATGTCCCTTTCATGTACCTCTTCTCCATCTTCAATTCATTACAAGGTAATATAAATGGTACCTGAGAATTTTCTGCTAATTTTAATGTATTTGCAAGCAGCTTCCCTTTTGGTCAGATGCCATGCTAAGTTTCTACATCACTATTCTAGGTGCTGAGCATAGTTTCTGGTACACACTGATAGAGATGGATGGATGGATGGATGTGTGGGTGGGTGGGTGCGTGGGTGGGTGGATGGATGGACGAAACGTTGCTGGATAAATAAGGCAGAATTTTAGGGTCTTTTTTCCCCCTCGGTGATGTATTCTAAGTACCTAGAACACTTCCAAGCAGACAGTGGGCGCTCAATAAATATTTGTTGTTGTATAAATGAATATGGGGCAGGGAAGTATCTAGCTGAGAGCCCAGTAGGAGGTTTAAAAAGTTGTAAAGACAACTTTTACCTCACAGCTTTGCTGGGTATTGGTGCTATTCATGGAACCTTTTTCCATTCAGGTTTACCATCCTTGACCAGAAGAATTTTTAGACTCTATTCAGGGGCAGAAGTAAATCACCTTGATTACTTGGCTCCTTGGAGTTCAGATAACTACTGTAGTTCAAAACTCTCATTTTTTTCATGAGATATGGAAATTAGTTCAACAATTTAACAACATTTGCCAGTGGCCTGCTTTTTACAAAAATGAAAGGTTTTCTTCAAGTATCTTACTGTCATGCTTCTGATTCCATATACATACCCTTGTTGTTAGTTGCCCTCAAGTCAGCTCCAACTCATGGTGAACGTATGCATAACAGGACTAAATGTTGCCCAGTCCTGTACCATCTTCATGATTGTGAATTCCAGTACACTCTATAATGGATTTATCTTTTAAGCTTAAATGAATATAAATGAATTTTTTGAAAATTAAATGATATTCTTTAAGATATTGGATATACCCTGTGCTGTTGATAAAACTCCCTAATGTTCAGGAGCACCATGAAGCCAGCATTCTAAAAAAAATGAATATTTGTAATATTTCTGAATAGGGCAGTACTGCCGGCTTACCTGAAGCTTCTGGTCATGCAGTCGTGGGTGTGTGGGGACGGAAGAGCTGGTAAAAGCTGAATATATCTGAGCTGGAGTAGAAAGTGTAGTGCAAAACAGGTTTGTGCAGCTAACCCAATGAGGTGCCTCCATGGGTGTTCCCTATAGGTATGTTCTAAGAAAAAGTCTGTAGTTACCTACAGTGGCATGTTTTCTGCTTTGTATTGTACTATCTGCTTATTCTCCTTGGTACTCCATTAATCTGTGACCGCTGGCAAAAAAATCTGTAATATAGTGGGCACTCATAAATTGTTTGTTAAATGAATCACTTGATAGCTGGATGAAGAGAGAGAGAGACTTTGGGTATGCCTTAAATCCAACCTGAGACTCCTCTGGCATGTTGTTATGTTGTTAGATGCCGTCGAGTCAATTTCGACTCATAACAACCCCGTGTGATACACTTGAACTGCCCCATAGGGTTGTCGTGGCCGTAATCTTTACAGAAGCAGATCTCTAGGTCTTTCTCCCGAAGAGGCACTGGGTAGGTTTGAACGGCAAACCTTTTAGTTAGCAGCCAAGTGCTTAACCATTTTCGCCACCATTAGTTCAGGTTCAAATTTTATTCAGGTTCATTCTCTCATAACAGGAAGGATGTGGGCTCGTTGTCTTTAGTAAGTAGAATAAACCTCATGTATACCTCCAAAGGAGCCCTGATGGCCCAGTGGTTAAGAACTCACCTGCTAACCAAAAGGTCTGCAGTTTGAATCCACCAGCTGCTCCTTGGACACCCTATGGGGCAGTTCTAGTCTGCCCTATAAGGTCGCCATGAGTCGGAATCAACTCGACGGCAATGGGTGTGTGTGTCTGTGTGATACCCGCAAAAGGTGGAAACTATGTATGTAACATATGAATACATCTTAATAGGAATCTAGCTTCTTAAAGTGATTATTCCTCTATTTAATCTCTTCTATAATATACAATATAAAAGTGCCAAAACAAATATTGACAAAAATGTCTGTTAACATTAGAAATTCCATGGTTTTATATGTCAGTATTGTACATGAAAGGCACATTGGTCAGCCAGCCCAATCATGTTTTTGCTTTTAGAATTTCCTGGCAGTTTCTGTGATCTTCAACAGGTATAGTTGTCTGTTCAGCTCTGTTTCCATTAATGAGAATTGGGATGTTTTATTTTTCCCGGCATGGGTCTCCTTCGGGAGGGAAAAATGTTGTAAACCATCATCAAGTCAGTGTTCTTCATAAATCACTGAGTTTTAAGACTGACTTGAAATTATATACATTCAGAACAGATTTCTGCACATCAGTGATATTTAAAACACCTCCAAAAAAAAGGGAAATTTAAAATTAAAACCCAGTGATACAGAGCTCATGAGTCTTCTGACAATTGCTTACTGGCCAGGCTTGTACAAAAAAATTCTTAGGATGCTACACAAAGTCACTTAATGGTTTTTTGCTGACAAGTTTTCTGAGCCTTCCAAGAGAGGCTTTATTGTTGTAAGAAGTATGTGCTTTATTAAAAGAAGCATGTAGAATTTAGACAGTTTAAAGAAACAGTTCAGTGAATGCAAAATGAAATCAGATAGTACTTACGTAAACTAGATTATGTCTGTTTTGGGGTTTTGTTCTGTTTTTTGTTTTTTTCTGGTTTTGTTTTTTGTTTTTCTTTCTGACATTCTATATTCCAGCAAAAAGTTGGTGTGGTCAATTTACCTCATGAAGCTTATGATCTAGTCGGGGAAACTGACATTAATCACATACATCACAATATAAAAAGTACCTGGGGATACTAAGAGCCCATGACAGAGGATGTGATGTCTGAGTTGAAATTTGAAGGATAAATAGGAATTAACTAGGTGAAAGATGGGAGTAGGAGTGGAAAAAAGAATATTTCAGGTCAAGGACACTTCATGTGCAAAATTTACCATAGTTGGTGATGACAGCATGTGTTCAAGGCATTAAGAGAAAGATCAGAGAATGAGCAGGAGAGTATCAGAAGGAGTTTGTGCAAGACGGAGGCCAGGGCTATACCATGAAGGCCCCATACTTAGATCTTTGGTAAGAGCAATGGGAAGTCTTTGAAAGGTCTTAGGCATGTAGAGTGACATCAGATTTACATTTTATAAAGATGAAGTTGGACACAGTGTGAAAAATGGATTAGAGCAGCCCAATAGTGAATGTAGAGAAAAGAGGATATTGTAGTGGTCCAGGTCAGATGGTGGTGCAGTATTTTAGACTATGGTGGAGAAGAGGTGACTTGAGAGACGTGGGCTGAGCCAAGAGAAATTTAAGAAATATGCTGCTACTAAAACACTCATCATTGGTTTTAGATGTTAAAGCACACTCATTTTTCTAGAATGATTAGGGTAACAGCTCTTTTTGTTAATGTAATATTATAGTTAATTAAAGCCTAAAGACATAACCGTGGTCAGAGATTTCAAATGTCATACAATATTCTGAAAATTAACTCTATGTCAAACAAATTTTAATCTTTCTCAGATTTAGCTTGCAGTTGAGCATCTAAATATCAGGAGGGTCTTCATTATGAATACCGTGAGTCACTCCGTAGTATTATAGAGGTGTAGGCCCTGTGGACCGACAAGTCTACACTGACATCAACACACATATAGCAGATGAGTTGCTTTGATAGCAGATCTCTTTTCTCATTTATTTATATCTTTAAAAAATTCATTTTAACATGTTAAAAATCTCAGGATCCTTGGAAATATATGTGTGTCTTTATATCCACATGTAATTATATGGGTACTCACATAAATGTGTATAGTCTGTATATTAAAAAGGAGTCCCTGGGTAGTGCAGTGGTTAACTCATTCAGCTGCTAACTGAAAGGTTGGAGGTTTGAGTTCACCCAGAGGTGACTCGGAAGAAAAGCCTGGCAAATTACTGCTGAAAAGTCAGTAAACCCTATGGAGCATAGTTTTAAAACCCTGTGGAGCATAGTTCTACTCTGGCACACATAGGGTTGCCATGAGTCAAAACTGATTCTATAGCAAATAAAATAATAATAATTACAAATGTGCATATAAAAATAAACACAAACATATATTTTCGTATATATGTATATAAAAGACATCAAACCAGTTGCTGTCGAGTTGACTGTGGTTTACAAAGGACTTTCATATACATCTATGATCTGATTTAATTCTTGCAGCAAATCTGAAAAGCAGAGACCTAAGAAAGAGAGTATTTTCTCCATTTTATAGATGAAAAGTGAATGACACTACAGGGGAAGTCAGCACAACTGGACTAAACCAAAGCTAAGAAGTTTCCTGAATACAATCAAATACTTTGAGAGAAAGAGTAGCAGGGGTAGGGGTCTGGGAACCATGCTTTTGGGGGACATATAGATCAATTGGCATAACAAAGCTTATTAAGAAAGTGTTCTGCGTCCTACTTTGGTGAGTGGC